ATCGTTTAACTTTGGAGAGCAAATCCTCAGATGGGGCCATTGGGACTCGCAAGTGTCCTCTGAGCTGGGTATGCTTCTCGATTCCATCGCAGACCAGCTCGAATACACATCAGTTAACAAAGAAGCCCAAGACCCCAAATTTGTAAAGAGTGCCGCAGGGTTTATCATGAAGTTCATGCTGAATTCTTTGAGCCTCACGGACCATACACAGGCAAAGTCTTTCGTTGGGAGGGCACTTGAGGTGTTCCAAGGATTCAATGGTCGCATACAAGCGGTACTGGGACGTGACGATAACACCACACAACCCCAGTATCTATCTATTGCAAGCGTCTATGATTATTTGCTTCTTGCCGCGCTCTTTGTTCTGAGACTTTGCCAGAGCGAACCCTCTTTGACGAGTGATCAATTTCAAATGGAGGATCTGGTGAAGAGCTTGGCCAGAACTGCAATTATTTCACTCTCCATGGCTGGAATGGACAACATCACAAAAACCTACAGTGACCTGAAGAACTCACGGTTACGAGAGCGAGGATTGAGAGATGATGTGCCCGCCATTCACTCCTGGCTTATTACCATGAAGACTCTGGAACATGCCCATATTCCTCGGGGCTCATTCTGGGACATTCTGTACGCCGTCATAGCCACGCCTGAGGTTTCAGAAAGCCTTGATGCGACTGAGCATGAGCGCTTGTGGAAAACCATGTTTCTTCTTCTCCCACTCACTGAGTTTAACGACAAAGGTATCGTTGCTGCAGGTCGAAGGCATAATGCAGTTGTCGATGGCTGGGCATTACCACAAAAACTGCTCAAGAAGATTTTCCAGGTTTACAAAAATAACCCACGGCAGTCACCAAGCTTCAACAACTACTGTCGGGCACTCGTTGGCCGTTGCCACTATCTTGTTCAGCAATGGGGCTGGCGCAAATGTGTAGCCGTGATTGGTGTCATCTTTGACTTCTTTGGTTCGCAGGACCTCGCTCATCTGCGCAATGAAGAGGTGTACGCTTCGCCCAAGTTTCTGGATGAACTCGCAGGAAGCCCCTCACTGTCTGTTGATAAGGCCGACAAGTGCTTCCACATCTTCCTCAAGCTCGTTGCGTTGAGTATCAAGAAGTTAGGCGCCGTTGGCTCGTTGAAAGACATCCGGAACCTGATAGCCCGGACAATGCCGAACCACAATCGGCAACTCCTAAAGGAGCAGACGATCCAGGAGCGTGATTTGGCTGCGTTACGAAACCACCATGATCTGCTCTGCACCCTTTTCTGGGCTTCGCCGGCAGAACTTCGCCCAGGCGCCCATTTGATCGAGCGACTCGTCGCCCCAGCAAGCTCCCACAAAGAGGCGTGCTTAATCAACGTCAGAGCCTGGAACCAGTTGGCCAAGTTTATCGTCGCGTCCGGAGAAGCTACGACAGCATTCAGACCGTTCACACAATGGCGGAACAGCTTTTTCCAATCCATGATGCAACAGTTCGATTCCGTACAGTCTGATATGCAACAGCAAGTCTTGGCCATGTCTAAAGATGTCAGTAACACAATCGACCCAGACTTGATCAATGCCGTGGTGGCCATGAACAAAAAGGCTACAATGGACGTATTGTATGTCTCGGTGACAGCATCATTAGATGTTATGAGGCATGCACCTAACTTGGAGGCCGCCACATTTGCCCTGAATACACTGCAACTACAGCAAGTTTTCCGGCGATCCAGTGCATATCCCATGGAGCTTGACTGGTCGATTCTCCGTTCTTCCCTATCCACCTTGGAGGTTTTCTTCTCCCATGTTGATGAGTTCAAGGACGACGAAGACAGTCAACAGAGCGAGAGCCAAATCTTGAACTCAGCCCAAGCGGATGATGCTATCTTGGTAATTGATCACGACCTGTCCAAAGCCTACTTCTCAATGGCGAGATGCATTCTCTCTTCACAGGGAGAACTAGGCGAATCCCCTTCTGAAGCTGCGCAGAGATCCCAATGCACTGAGCAGGTCATAATCTTAACAGCCCGGCTTGTAGTAAGGTTCATTACTGGTGGACTGTTGCGACTTGCCGATATGTTTAAACCGGGGAAATATAGCCTGTTCGAGGAGGTTCCAGCCAAACTCAACCTCGACCAACGACGACATCTTGTCTTGTTCTTGACCACGCTCCTCAAGCACAACTTTGATGATTTTAGCGAGACAGACTTTTCTCTTTCAGAGGTCTGGGCTCTGTCAATTGTCAAACCAAGGCCATACCTATCGTACGAAAACCAGTTTGCGGAGCAGTTGCTGCGAAAGCAGAAAGAATTCGTCCCAGACGCAGTCGTTGGACTTGTTATTAACCCGGACTACAACACAAACCGAGACCTCTTCGAATTCCTTATAACATGGATGCGCAAGTCCTTGCGAGATGCTGGACCAGCGCTGAAAAAGGTCATCATGTCAGAACACTCCAAGACACTCAAGTTGGTGATGCAGCAGATCATAGGAGATTTGCGGACGATGTCTCACGATGCCTATGAACATTCTAGCTATGTGGTCTTTGTTCGGGATATCATTGCGCTTGTTAGAGCTCACGGCTCTGATATTTGCACAGTCGACAAGTATTTCTATCAGATCAGTAAGGAGTATTCGCCGTCTATCCAGGACCCGCAACTGCAAGTGGCTGGCATGATGTCTTATGGGCTTCGGCTGAGCGAAGGGGACACCAAGGTCATCCACCAGGTCTTCTTCTTCCTTTCTAACAACTTCAAGATTGCACTTAAAGACAACAAGCTTCAAGACGAAGTTGAGCTTTTGTGCCGGGGAATGGAGAACCCGGGCATTCTATCTTTCATCCTGAACAAGATGCTACCAGCGATTGTCAAGACTGCGACAGTCGAAAGCTCGATATTCCCCATGGTTGAAGTTTATGCAGGAGCACTGCGAGTTCTTTTGACTCGCGATGTAATTCCTCGGGAGTTGGCAGAAAGCGAACTGCCGCATATAGTTGTTCTTTTACGTGCCATTGCCAACTTCTTTGATCAACTCAGTAAAAAAGACGGACACCTCCGGGCCGAGGAAGTCCATCTGGTGACACAGCTGTTGTCATTGTCAAACAGCCTATGGTCTCCTCTATATGGTCTGTCACTTTCTGGAATATCTTGCGGTTCTTGGACAGATACCGTGCAAGTTCTCAAGCATGTGAGGAACGGGTTGTCGAGGGCCGAAAACTATATCTCTGACATGGTCGATCTTGAAGACTATTCTGTCAGAGCAGAAACCCTCCTATCCGGCTTTCGGCAACAGGGCATGGCACCCTCACAGATTGGTGATGGCGTCAGAAGCTTCACCGATAATCTCATCAACGACGTTCGAAAAATCTGGGTCAATACTGGAACAAGGATCACCATTCAAGCGCCTGGTAGAGGCCCAGGGTTTACACAGGCGCAGTCTAACCAAGGAACACCTGTACCAATATGGAATGCAGAAGTCTTGGTGACTGTCTTGTACGGGGAGTTGAGGACATGGAATCATTGGTGGAATAAAGTGTTTGGCAAAGAGCCAGAACAAGTAGATGTGATTGAACCTGTCTTGTTTTAATCAGCATAGCAACGGCGTTAGGTTTACAAATGTTTGCGGATTGTGGATTGCATAGGGGATATTGCATGTGGTTTCGTTTCTCGGAATGAATAGAGTCTATGAAATGATATATATATATATACCCGTCGACTTGAACTTATGGAATATGTTTTGCCGTGGCTATTTATTTCATAATAAAGTAAAAAAGTTGTTACTAGGTATTAAGGCAAGGTAGGTAGGTATGCCTATAAGTGAAGTGCGTGATGGTCGGCCGGTTATTTCCCGAGTGACGTATCTTGGACCGTGCAACGCGCCAAACGCGTCTCCCTGATAAGCTCATTTATGCGTATCTCGAACAATTTGTGAACTTCAACCAGCAATTGTACCCAAAGACGGTGGAATTGCGCAAATGCAAGGAACCATGATGACCTCACTGTTTGGTCTTCCAGATGAGGTCATATTAACTCCCTTGTTCGAATCATTTCCTTGTCGAGAGCATCAAATCCGCTCCCTAGCAACGCTGCTGCATGTATGTGATGTTTATCAACCATCTTTCTACATCAACATAACATACTGACAATACATAGCCCAATGCAGCTCCTTGTCGAAACCTCGTCATCCACGGCGCAACGGCTACAGGCAAATCTGCCATCACCTATCAACTTGTCTCCGATCTCGTCACCAGTATTAATAGCGATGAATCCTCAGGGGGTCTGCGAGCTGCTATCGTCAACTCTGTACAATGCATCACAGGACGACACCTCTTCGAACGCATAGTCGGTCAGGTTGCTGAGGCGCTGCAGTGGGAGGAGGTGCCTCGGCGATGCGAAACGCTGGCGCAATTGACGGTTGAGATGGTCAAGATGATTCAGTATCCAAAGAGGGATGCGAGGTGGCGTTTTATCTTGGTGCTGGATGCTATTGATCGACAAAGAGATGCCCCGGCCACATTGTTACCAGCTCTGGCGAGGTTATCAGAAATTGTGAGCACCCAACATCCTTGATACACATGTACAAAGCTAACAAATGTCCAGATTCCATGCCTCACCTGCGTCTTCATAGTCACATCTCCGCCCGCTGGCTTCCTACGGTCACCTTTGTCAGCGCATCTCCTTTTTCCTCCCTACGAAAAGAAGGAATTCGTTCGCGTCCTCTCGCTCACGCCGCCGAAATCGATTGCTACATGCACGCAGCAGGAAACCACCGATCTCTGGACTCGATTCTGCGCTGCCGTTTACGACTCCCTCACAAAATCAGCGTCTCGCACACTGCCATCGTTTAAGCACAGCTGCCACGCGCTTTGGCCGCGCTTCACAGCGCCCATTCTAGCGGGAACACATCTGCCGAAAGAGTTCTCGAAGCTGCTAATCGCAGGAAGAGTGCATTTCCAAGATGAGTCTTTGCTCAACCCAAGTATTGTCTCTATTCGGCCAAAGAACAAGCCCGTTGAAACCATCGCGACGAAACCTACAGTCTCAGCAACCGATCTCACAAACCTTCTCCCTACGACAGCTCGTCTCCTGCTGCTATCAGCTTATCTCGCCTCCCACAATGCAACCCGCCATGATCTCACACTCTTCTCGACATATCATCATGGCCGCAAGCGCCGCCGAGGAGGTATTGTTGCTCGGGGAGCTACACGGACGAAGCATCGCAAGATCGCCCGCAAACTCCTTGGCGCACACGCCTTTGTTCTCGAGCGAATGATGGCTATCTTTGCCGCTGTACGAAATGAATGGGCAGATGGCACCGCCGTAGGCGCTGCCGGCCTCGATGCAGATGTAGCCATGGCTGTATCGACGCTTGCGAGCTTAAGACTGTTGACACGAGTAGGAGGCGCAGGAGATGTCATGGATCGAGGAGGCAAGTGGAGGATTAATGTTGCATGGGAGGTGATACGAGGAATAGGGAGAAGTATAGGCGTCGAAGTTGAAGAATGGCTGATAGATTGATACCCGACGCATATAGTAGACCAGTAGGGCATCTCGATTAAAGCATATATCAAGCAAGATTTTAAACCAGATCGTTAATACGTCACGCTCGAGCTGTGATCGCAGGCTCATCTATCCAAAATAGTCCAGCATTATCATTCCATATCCACCTAATGATGCATCGCATCCGGCGCTCCCTTGAAAAAGGAGGGCCTCACAAGTGTCGTTGTGTCTTGTCTCTCAAAACAAAAAACGCCATCCCATGATATGTCATACAGGAACCCAAAGCCCTTCATCTAGATATCGGGACATAAAGTAACAACACCTTACACGAGAAACTCTAGCTCTCATATCTTTTTGATTGTTTGAATTCGAAACACCAAACCTGTTCACCAAAGAAATACGCAATCTAACACATACTCATGAGAAATATCATGCAACGCCAGCAACTCGATCGCCTGGCTGCCATGTGTCTTCCTGTTTGGTTCCTGGAGGGAGCCAGCCTCCATTACCAGTGCCAGGAGTACGGCTGCGAGGAACACCATCGTCTGACTTTTTTGGATCTTCTGCCGCAGACGGTCGACCAAAGTAGCCTTCATGGTAGGGATAAGAACGGGCGTTGAGCTCAGTACTTTGAGGGGATTCCATGATAGGTGTTGGGCGCAATCCATTATTTGTGATGGGGAGAATCGATGATCGCTTAATCTGCATCGACTGAGCCTTTTGATCGGCCTTGTTGCCAGACTTTGTTCGGTCATACAAGTACAGACCCAGAAAGGTGAGAGCAATGCCCACACCTTGTAGGGGAGTTGTGGGACTCCTGAACCATACCAGAGCCAAGACAATGACGAACACACGCTTGATGAGACTTGCTACTGAATAGGTAACAGGGGAGACCATGGAGAGCAGGATGAAGGCGAGAATGTTCTGGCCAAAATGGAAGACACCGTTAAAGACAAACTCAAGCGTGAGTCTTCCATGGTCCATCGAGTTGGGTTGCTCATTCAAGTCTATCGAGCCCTCGTGGTAGAAGTTCATGAGAAGAGTGAATCCTTCAGACCAAAGCCAGATGGGCAATGTGAGAAGAAAAGCCATGCCAGAAGAGTAGCAAAGTAAGTTGAGCTTATCCAACTTCTTAGGTAGTGAATGGGGCGACTCAGCCTCCGCTTTAGCAGCCTCGTTGAAGAGCTTCTTAGAGAAGATGTTTTGGGTAACGAAGATGACGGTAGCCAAAAGAGCATGGATGACACCAATGAGCTCTCCACCATAGGTCGTTTTGCCCGAGCAGGCCAACATGACGCCGAGTGTGAGAGGGATCAGAGACAGGTACGTCGTCTTGGGGTACCGAATGTCGTACACGATTCTATAAGCGAGAACGGTAAAGAGGGGTGAAAGACCCTTGATGGTATGGACAAGTGACACAGGGATCTTTGAGGTAGCTGTCGAGCTAAGAAGGTGACCACCGATCTGGAATGCGGCTAAAGGCAGAGTCGTTCTGATAACGTCGCGAGTTGGCTTTCGAATCGGGTGCTTGAGAGCTGTAATTTTGGCTCGCAAGACTGGGAAGATGGTCGCAAGCCATGCCATGAAGATACATAACGAGGAGACGAAAGCGAATTGGACCAGCGTCAAGGTAGCGGGCTTGTCAAAGGCTATCAAGATGGACTTGGAGGAGGTGTTTGTAAGGGCAGACGAAGTGTACCACAACAGGCACAGAATCTGTGTACCGCAACATCAGGTCAGCACTTTGAACTGGTAACTCTACATTTGGCTTGGGACTCGGGAAGAAGGGCGTACAATAAGCTTCGGAGAGACAGGGGCACGTAGGGCATCGGCAATCTCGTGGGCGTTCTGGCTAACACTGCCATTGCGACCTCTTATTGTACGAATAGCATCCGTGAGGCTCTTTTGTCGATTGTGCCCTCGAGGAGCCGTTGACCAGCCATTATCTGATTTCGAGGCGGGTCGCCATCGATCTGAGGGACGAGGAGGTGCGCCATTTGCCCACCCGGGAGGATTCAAAGGGCTCTCTGGCGGTGACTCGCCCAGGGGCGTATCGATGAAGTCGGGGAACTTTTCCATCACAGGAGAGTGATAAGAAGGGAGAGAAGATTAAATTGCGGCGCAAAGGCCAGGTATCAAGGTTGCGTGTTCAGTTTGAATTGATTCGAATCGGTTTTATAACGAGCGACAGATGATGAAGGCAAGGTTCGAGTAAATCGTTATAATCGTCGACGAAAACGTATGCTCATCGCTTATCGAAGGGTCGACTCGTAATGGCTATCTCCCAAGTACCTGAGGCTGTAGGCCAAGGCGCGAGCTGCAAGTCGAACGACGAAGCCAAGCCTGAGAACGAAAGCGGAAGAGAACAAACGACAGCGGTCGAAGAAGGCGACGTTGCTGGCTCTATGCAAACACAGACCAGAAGCTGGTGAAGCTGAGGAGAAAAAAAGAATGCCAAGTTACAACCAAGTACTGTAGCTTCTGTTGGATGGATGGTGTTAACGTCAAAGTGGGAATGGTGCAAGTGGGATAAGCAAGGTACAGCCTATAATTAAACCAAGGGGCTCCAATAGAAGGACGAATCGATGCCAGATAGATTGCACACGGGGGGTTACAGGGGCCCTTTCCCTTGGGATCTTCTGTAATAAGCCTGTAACTAACATTACGTGGCTTGCTAGCCTCTATCCGCGGTTAGTCCGGCAGCCGCCGCTGATAACCTGATAACGCACCTTTAGCCGCCCTGAGCCGCCATTCGTTTTACGTGAGCTAACTAAGCTAAGCAGCTAATCTGAGGTTGACCGGAGACAGACTTTTGAAGGCGTCGCGCAAAAGTCGTCTCCACCTGCATCAGCTAAACCAATCTCTCTGTTAGCGCATCCAACTGTGCTTTTGTTTCAACCTCACTTTCCTTCAACTCTTGTGTGTATTCTCTGTAACTTCAGGGCATGAATAGGGACCCTAAGCAGGCCATTCTCGCGCTCGCCTTGTCCTACGCCACCTTCCAGCTCACGACGCAAGTCTTTAATCCAACCACAAGCAAAAGACAATCCCTGGTCGCGACGCCAACGTCGCCAGCCTCTGATTCACTATGGCGGCCCCAAAGATGACCAAGAACCAGATGCGAAGGGCCAAGAAGAAGGAGCAGAAGAAGGCTCAAGCAGAGGTATGTCCTGGTCTCCTCGCCCTCGTTGCGACATCACCCACTGACGCGCTGCAGGCTACCCCTACAAAGACCAAGGAAACCGCCGAGACTACCAACCGTGAAGAAAACGATGTCGCCGAGTCTACGACGACAGATCTCGAAGTGAAAAAGGGGTCGACAACCGAAGATGCCGCCACCACGGATGGTCATGCGATCGAAGTTGACATGGATGAGGAGGATCCCGCCTATGCCATGTACAAGGACATCTTTAACAAATTCGGCGCGTCGATGGAAGAGGACGAGATCGCCAAGGAAGCCAACGCTGGCAATCAAGGGACAGTGTTCTACGCGGATGACGACGAGATTCCAGACGAAGACGAAGAGAACAACGGACAGCCCAAGTTATCCAAAAAGAAGAAGAAGCAGCTCAACACGATCTCTATCGCTGAGCTCAAGGCGTTGGTCAAGGTTCCTGAGGTGGTAGAATGGCAGGACGTATCCTCGTCGGACCCTCGACTGCTTGTCCAGATCAAAGCTCAACGAAACGTCGTGCCAGTACCAACCCATTGGTCTTTAAAGCGAGAGTATCTGTCTTCAAAGCGAGGTATCGAGAAGCCACCTTTCCGACTACCCCAGTTCATCGCAGAAACCGGCATTACCGAGATGCGCGATGCCGTCCTCGATAAACAGGCAGAGCAGTCGTTGAAGCAGAAACAGAGGGAACGTGTTGCTCCAAAGATGGGCAAGCTTGATATCGATTACCAAAAACTTTACGATGCTTTCTTCCGTTTCCAGACCAAGCCCGAATTGACGCGATTTGGTGAGGTTTACTATGAAGGCAAGGAGTCTGAGGTCGATTACCAACATTTCCGACCGGGTGACCTCACCGAGGGTACTAAGGAAGCCCTGGGAATGCCTCCTGGCGCACCACCACCATGGCTCATCAACCAACAACGGTTTGGGCCTCCTCCATCCTATCCTACTCTGAAGATTCCTGGACTGAATGCGCCACCACCCGCTGGAGGCTCATGGGGCTTCCATCCCGGTGGTTGGGGCAAACCCCCAGTTGATGAGTTCAACAGGCCTTTGTTTGGTGGCGATGTCTTCGGTCTTGCGGCACAGGGTGGACAAGGAGGGGCACAAATGCACACGGGAGCCGGTGAGCCTGTGGAGAAGAGCCTGTGGGGTGAGCTGCAGCCACGAGAAGAGGAATCAGAGGAGGAGGAGGAAGAATCAGATGAAGACGAAGAGGAGGAAGATGATGATATTCCTGGTGGAACAGAGACACCCAGTGGCCTCGAGACTCCCGGTGGTTATGCCAGCACAGTGCAGGCCGACTACGGGCAAGGTGTCGAGACGTCTATTGCTGGCGAGATGGACTTGCGAAAGGAGCGCCGTGGCTACGACACAGAAGAGTCCAGTGCTCCTCGATCCGCCTACACCATCCTGCCAGAGCGCCAAGTTCGCGCCGAAGGATTCTTCGGCAGTGACAGGGTATATGACCTCAAGCAAGCACAAGCAGCTCAACGAGCAGGCGTGCCTGTTCTCGGCGCCGATGACGATTCACGCAAGCGCAAGAAGCCTGGCGACATCGACGTTGCTCTTGATGTCGACTCGTTGCACAACCACGATGGTATCAGCAAAGACGACCTGCGGCGCAAGTTCGAGGAGGGTAGGAAGGAAGAGGGCATCGGAGCCAAGTGGGCATATGACGATGACCTGAGTGAGATGATCGCCCAGGAGAGCAGAAAGAGACAGAAGACTGAGGCAGAGCTCAAGGAGAAGCGGAGGGAAGGCAAGGGCAGATACTAATATTGACAGACGAGAATTGTCAGACTGTACCATCGATGGGAACTGGGGTTGGTGACCAGGCGTTTTAATATCTTGTTTATAACGGGGACAGAGCAGCTCAACGGCTAAAATAGGACGAATACCATGCTTCTTGAGGTTTGGAAAATGCACCAAGGACATGGTTGTAGAGTGAATATCAAACGAGTGACCACGATGAGACTTTCTCGGTTAGGGATGCACTGAGCTTTTAGTTGCTGGCTTTGCTACAGGCAAAACTGAATAAATCCGACAAGTCCTCCTTTCAGAATGTTTGATGTAAATGTTGGAATATCTGGACTGATATCACATCATGTTGATCTATGGTATCAAAGAGTTGCTTCGTTTGAGAGTCTATTCGACGTTGTGTCTGATGACAGTTTGAAACACCAACTTCACCCTCGTAGAAGTCCCTCTTGTCGTCGATCGAGGTGATCTCAATCAGATCTTCAACTATGATGCGAGGCCAATGCCTGTGTTGTTAGTGGTCAACTTGTCATCTCATTCCTTTGTTGGATTCATGTTCTTGCGTACTTGATCACTCTAGAGAGCTTGGTGGCTGCATTGAAAGAGAAACAGCGAGTGACAAGTGGAACCAAGGCCTCACTTGTGACTAGAAGACGCAGGTACGTATGTATTGATTTGTGCTTGGCAGCCGGGGCGTTCAGGTGTGATGTACATGGGCATAACCCCAGCCTGCGGATGCTGGTTCTGGTGCTGGAGCCGTCACGCAAGGCTGGGGTTACAGAGAGAGCCAATATTACAGAGCCATTATTCACGACTGATGGAGATGAACACAAAATGCCCTGTAACGTTGAAGCTCAGGGGGTATTAGGGTCGAGTTTGAGGCTGTTGCAGGTGGTAGCTCTGATAGGTTGTTTGTATGAGCTGTATTGGCAGTGATTAGTGAACCCAAGTTGACAGGCATGCCTTTAATGACCAAGCTGCCCATTCCTATCAGGATAACGGCAGCCAGTTTTGAGGTATTCAGTGGCCCTGTATCACTATTTCATCGTCTCTCACCTAATGAGAAACGGTGCAACAGTCCATGTGGCTTGAGTGTGTGATTCAACCTCTAGTTAAACCTACTATATAAGTCAGTCTTTCGTTTTAGGAAGAAACCAGGAAAGCCAACAGCTCTTGACCCCTTGCCCATTGCAAGCTTGCCATTGGTCAACAGTCAATGCACTGCCAGCTCTGCATTCGTCAGAACGAACTAGCGCGACCAACTGCTGAGGCCAGCCAACAGCCAAAAAGACGAGCCATATCACGAATACACACGGTCACATCAAGGCGAAAACACAGATTCAGATGAGAAATTTGCACATAAAAAAACATACAACAGCGGGGATTCGCTGGTCGTCACCGACCCAACTACTAATCCGCCGGTTAGTGGCTTGACTATGGGAGAGCGGACGGGATCCCGTATTTTCCACTACCTTTGGTCGTATGTGATTGATGGTGGTCACCATTTGGATTATATGCACGGGTGCTAAAGCGAGTGAACGAGGCTTCAACAACTGGAATTCGACAGTTTCAGGAGAGTGAGTGAGAGTAATAAGTATCTCTGTTCGCTTTTGTTTCTGGCACCAACGCTCTTGATTCTGGATATGAATTCTGCCGCAGAAGAGCTCCATCACCTCGAATTGCATTGCGTTGCATCGATGGAGTATGCTGGTCTGCAGCCCATGGATATCACGCTCAACACTCAACGTCTGGACCAACCTTGGGAAGTTTAAGAGCGAAAATGCGAAGCCTCTGTTATGAATCTAGCATGACTGAGCTGAGTAAGGTATCTTAGCTAAGAGCCCTCCCTCACAGAGGCTTGAGTGCGTGAACCAGGTGGGGTCGCAATGTGAGATAGCATCCAACCAGATCGTGGGTGGAAATGGAAGAATCATGTCCGACATCGTGGGCCTCGCTGGGAGTTGTTTCAAAAACTCCCAGGAACCACCCAAAGGAAGACGCGACAAAAAAGACAAAACGCGGTGGCTTTGTCGAGACTGACTGTGCTGTTAAGCCTGTACTCGCCTCTGTATGACCTTGCCAGAGTTGGGTGAAGAGGAACGTAGCCTGATGGCACCCTCAATGGTAGACAAGTGTAATGGCCTCGATTGAGTGTCTAGTCGCGTATGCGTTGCGGGTATAGTCATGGCTGCTTCCTGGAGGAAACGCGGCGATTGGCTGATGCTGACCGCATGAGGCGGCTATTGATCATGTACTGCGCACTGCGGTATGTTTCTAATCTGGCCTCTCGTTGATCTACATCATAAAAATGCACGTCGTGGACTTGAGTGTGCGATTATCACATTTCTTCGCTACAACACAATCTCATATGTAATGGATTGGTGTGCTGACCTGAGTGGGTGGGTTCTCATGATGGGCGCCTCTATTGCTTGGGGGTGGTCAACCAATGATTACAGACAACTTCTGTGGTATATCCGGAAAATAATGGAATTAGCTCGCAGGATCTATTGAGGCCACCGTGCTCGATATACCATACAAGAATCTTTGGCTCGCTTATGCCATGTTGACCTGCTGGTCAACGGCCCCTAACACCCATGAGCTGGCGGCAGCGAGGTGACCATGATGAAGCCACCCACTTGGATTATAGAGTTAGTATCACTTTGAGCATCCGTCAGTGGTCGTATTGACACGGTATTAACAATAATTATGGCATTTTGTTAATGTCAAGGCGCTTCAATAACACTGCCCATCCAACTCATGATGGCCTCATTATTTCGCCATCAACCTTGGAAAGGTCGTATCACCTTCAACATTCCTTAAACCATACGCAAAAGATGTTTCCTTGCTCTCCAACTTGCGATAGTCAAACACACCAATGCTCTTTGCATATGCAATATGTTCTGGTCCCAATGTGTACATCTGTGAAAGAACTTGGCTCGAAATAACGGCAGAGAGCCTTCAAGTTATCCAAGAGGCCTTGTATCTTGGAAAGAACAATACAAGCGATATAAACAGGACTGGTATACTCATATCATGATACCTGGGATACTGAAAATGGCCATTTAGACACTGTCCATCTACATGCCACGCCCCCAAGCGCCTCGTCAAACAGCTCGTCAAACGTGCCGTAAAATAGACCACCAAGAGCGACCAGATATTATCAGGGGCTTCTTTTTTTTGTTTAATATGATTTGAACTTGCATTTGTCATTTCCCCGAACCATATCCTTTGCCGTTCAAAAATCGACCCATTTTCTACTGATCTCCACCACTTACCTCCTCTATCACATCTGGACTGGTCGTTCAGATTTGTCGAGATCCTTCGCTGGCCATTCGCATTTGTGACCTCAATAGATCTCGAATTAATCTATCCCTTTAGAGGGGTCTGTTCAACTTGAAGCAAGTCCACTTCATTCAAAGGGCTAATGCGTAAAGAAGAGGTTTGATCCAAGAAAATCAAGAGCTTGAGTTTCTCTCTAGTCTTTAATCTTGCATAGCATCTTCAGTTCCCTCAGAAACACCAAGATCCGAAAACATGCCACTGTGTCTAATTTCTATCAAATGCATTTCGATACCTCTTCTGTAGTCATCGGCCATATCTTGGAATTTATCAGCCACTTCTTCCAAACTCCTTGACTGATTGATGATGATGATGATACTGAGTCATTCCCAAACTGGGTGAGTCACACATGTAAGCAGATTCAAATGTGAATCGATAACCTCATACCAAGACATCCACTCAAGTTACTTGATGGGACCCGCCGTAATCCGTGAGAAGCCAAGCTCGTCTTTCGGTGAACACTGAACATGATTTATCAGACTGTTATGCTGTCCCGTGACAAAGTATTCCGTGATACCATCGATTTGATCATATGCTGTTATCATCCTGAGGACGTCACTTCTGTAGCAATGGCCGAAACCGTTATAACAAGCGCCCAGCGTGTTTGAGACTTGATCAATGAGTGCTAGAGAGATCTCTTCGACATGTATATCAAGTGTATTCGACTTGCAGCCTTCCAAACCATTGTGAGGTGCAATGGGTGAATCAGCCTACTAACCTGAATGGTATTTTGAATTTTCCATCGACAATGCATCTGTCGAATAGAACATATTGACCACTCCCAGATTGTGCAGACTGAGGCCGTTTCGTCAAGACCGGAATTGGTATTACTACTTGTGTTGGAGTTGCTGTGGTGATCATCAAGCTGTTGCATAACCGTTCATGCTCATATCAACCAAGCTAAGTATAATTAGGTAGTCTCCCTGAGTTGCAGATATGCCCAGATGTTAGCCGCACCGACCACGCTTTGTTTACAATTCCCTTGAATTCTACGTTGAAGCAGCGTCTTCAACTAGCCCTGCTATGCCCGCCTGGTCGTGGTTATACTCAAGGTAATCATCGCAATGGTTGCTCCTTCATCGTCACGCTGAAATTTGTTACACACGCACACAAACAGCAAAATGCAGGTAGTATAGTAATATAATACAGACCACCAAAAGTTTGCAGTACAAGCTGCCTCAACAGAGATGAGCTGCGAAAACCCAGCAATGTCCACGCCAGAAACAATCCACCCTCTACCTCAATCCTGATCAACCGACTCCGGGCATGCCTTCTCATCAGTGTCCCGATCCCAATAAGCGCCGAAACGACTATAAAAACATAAATTTAATGCCATCCTTCCGCTCACGATATCTCCAAGTCTGACTATATTCCCCACCACAAAATCTCGAGGCAATTCTTCACTTCTTTTTGGAGCCCGCCGCTTTCGTGTTAGCTTTTCGAAACCTGGCTCTCTTTATGGCTGTAGGCTCATCAGATTCCCCAACAGCCACGTTCACACGTCTCTTTCTCAGCGCTTGACGCGTAGTCATCGAATGGGAAGCTTTTGCGCTTTGAGAACCAGTGCTGCTTCGTTCGCCTCCTTTCAAGCTTGCTGAGCTAGGTACTGGGATGCTTCGCAAGGATATGGACACCCCGCTCTAGGAGGTTCCTTCCGTTTTGCTACACCCATTGCAAAGCCATTTGGGACGAGTGACCGGAATGGATGCCGAGTTTTCGATGCAACTTGCATGATACAGTCGATTTGAGCATTTCTATACAATTGTTAGCAGTGGCTTGCCGTCAAATAGCATTGGCATTACCTTGTTTGAGCAGATGAGTAGAGAAGGTCCGAGGACGGGGAGCTGACACACTGTACACCCATTCGCGCCTCTCGTAATTTGTGAAGCTCGAGGCGACTGTTTTAACGTGACATCCGCCGCATTGGTACCGTTCGTCTTCGCATCCTCATCTGATTTCAATCGAGCTCGTGCCTCATCAATCAGCTTCCCGGCTTTCTCAACACTAGCGTTATCCAGGACATCACGCGCCATCAGAACACACAGGTGCTTGCCATACTCGTTCATCCGATAATTCGCACCTACCAGCCAAGAAGCATTCTCTTTGACAAACTTGACCCAAGCACGCCTGAAATATTGTCCAGATGTGACATTTTCCTGAAGAATAAATGCGTCCCATCTGCGAATGTATTCCTTCTCTTCTTTCGAGACGTCGGAGAATTCGCCGATATCTTCGCGATGCTTCTGTAACAACCATGCATTATCGACCACGGGTTTTGGTAACTCCTCGCCAGGTTTTAGGCGAGCTTTGCTGACAGGGTCAAAGAGAGGCTGACAAGACTCTGGAATGATGACCTTTTTCTTTTCCGGTCGCGGAATCACCGCCTGAACTGCCGCTGGAGGCTGAGGAGGATTTTCGCCAGACTTTCCAAAGAGTTGTCGTTCGGTGCTGTGCTTCGGTAAAAATCGCACAACATCTTCCATGTGATCTGGACCATAGCGTGAAGTTACCCAGGAGTCATCGCCGTTGACATAGGCCTGCTGATCAAGCGGTTTTGTGGGTTTTCCGAGCTGCAGCTCTTTCGAAGGCGAGACTGTAGACCCCGAAACATGAGTAATCCGGAACAGCGGCCCTTGGCTCGTCTTTTCCAGTGTGTACACATAATTCGGATGGTACGTCATTAGGTGAGCTCTCAAAATGTCCAATGACTCGTTAGCGTTGCCACAGGCACAACACTGCCATGAGAGTAGGTGAACCGGTGTGTTAGCTGACAGCATATACGTGACGAAACCCTCGCCTTGCTCAGGTTGCCCAGCCTTATCTCGGGTTTTGCGCTCCTTTCCATGGGCTTGCGCAGTCAGTACCTTCAAGTTGTATTGCTTGTTATTCCGTTTTCGTAATGCTCGGTTAGGGGTGTGGTCGCCCTCTAGCTCTTCTTCCAGATCATGAGAGATGTCATGCGACGAGTCCTCGTCACCAACATGCCCGTTCACTTCATTCGTCTCTTGTACTCCATTCATATCTTCAACCTCATGCGTAACCCCATTGATGCCATTCACACCACCCATTTCGTCGTCGTCATCATGAAGGCCATTGACGCCGTTTGTGCCGTTTATTTCATGAACATCATTTGTGAGATGGGTGCTGCTGGTGTCATCGATGTCATCCTCAAGCTCGGGTGGGCTCGCGCTATCGAGCAGATCATCAGATATAGGTTCAAGAACACCATTGGTGTAAATCTCGCCGTCTGAATCGAAAGCAGTAATACAGTTTTTTGCAGTCTTGTCAATTCGTCGGGTACCCGAGGCCCATTTCAATTCTACATCCATGATGTAATTAGTCAGACGTTCATGGCGCTGTGGGTGGAATCCGGCTGTGAGCTTGACGGGTTTCTTTATCCTGCCGAAAACCTGGGGAAACTCGCTATGCAGTATCCAATTCTGCTTGGCAATTGCTTGGACAGGCCCTTGCTGGCTTGCAGGGACACCAAGCTCATGGGCTTCCAGAGGCGGCCAGTTGCCATCCTGAACTGAAAACATTTCGACGTCTAATCTGTATGCGTTCGAAAAGTCATGGGATGGATCATCCTGCCTGTTGACCAAGATACTTTCCTTAGGGACAAGGAATGGCTTAGGTGGCTTAATGTAAGCAATCCGATGAGGGCCTGACGGATTCGTGTGAGAGACGATGTCACAGCTCTGGCTGCTGCGATATAGGATGTGAGTGAAGCCACCGCTCACATCAGAAACGGTGATTTGACATTTAGCCTTGGTTTTGATGATATCGTCTGGAGGAAGAGCATTGAGAGGCCGGACTTTCTTAGAGTCCTTGTGAAAAATCTTGTGTATCTCAACACGTAGAGCCGTGCGATCTTCTGTATCAATGAGTGAGGCGTCGCCGTTGGACTTGGAAACTGAGACCTTCTGACGCTTTTGTGGAGGGCCACTGTCATCTTGGCTCTTGGGCGTCGAGAGGGTCGCGCCCATGTTTTTCGCGTTATGAGCAGCTTCCCAGTTGCGCTGAGTAAAGGGGACAGTCCTTGTAAAAGGCTTTTTCTGGGTCATGGCGGAGAAAAGCGATACCTTGACGGTATGAGATGATCCAAGGAGCAGTGCTCAGTCCTGGTAGGAAAAGTTGCGTAATGCGACAGACAGTTGAAGATGGCCGAGAATGTGGTTGTGACTGTGCTTGTTGGCAAAGCGGGTTGAAACGTCGCAGTACGTAGTTGCGATTGTTAGAAACAAGGCGTAAGTAATTATATATTAGTAGTTGATGGCCTTGACGCTCATGGCTGATGCGTGTTTGTTGTAGTCATGCGAACGGGTTTGTCAGGGCAGGAAAAATGACAGCCGAGAAAGGCCAGTGAAATAAAGCAGAAGCAACGGATAGAGGCAAGAGCGAGAAACAGCAACGCCACAAACTGCAGAATCGGACCGGGAGGAGAAGAGTGAAGAAGGCGGGATAGAGAAGAATATAGTGAAAAGAAAGAGCGCCTATGAATGAATATGAACAGAAGTGAGAAGGCGACTGCAGCTGTGTGCGTGTCCTTGGTACTCGAGGTGGATGTAAATAATGGGTTAAAGGAGGAGATGTGAGAGCCGGTCGCGTGTGGTGACAATCCAATTCTGCAGGTAAGGTCAGGTACCGTGGTAGGTAGTTTCAGTTCAGTGCTGTGGCCAAAGTACTGTCGCTCGCTGCCCGTCGCTCCTTCTGTGAACTGCCCTGTCTGATCCCGATACGCGCTGTAGAGTTAGATAGCGGGTTTCAGCGGACTCTATTGCATTGAAATGAAGCAGCAGTAGGCGAGAATGAAGCCTGTAGAGCGTCCTCATGAGAAGCGACGGGACTAGAGCTGACAGTAAAGGTAAGGTAGGTAAGTAACAATGAAGAGCGCGGTAAGAGACGCGTGCCAGTGGCAGGTTAAGAAGCAGCCCTGCCCGTGAGGTGGGAATTCTATCGCGACTCCCTACTACGGACTAGAGCCTGTAGCCCTCCTAGCGTCATGCCTGGAGAGTCACCAACAACCGCCATTCAGAGGCAATAGCCTAGCGGGGTGGATCCACTGGCCGCTGACAGTGGAACGAATTAGAGACTCTGCTTCAAGCAAAGACTTAACCGCTGGAAATTATTATGCATGCAGGCGGGGTGTTGCGCGCTGTGTGAGCGAGAGTGTGAGCCCCTTAGCCTCTTGTTAACTGCAAATGCAAATGTATTTCCAGTCCCGTAGAACACCATAAAGTTCATTTTACATATCCTCTCAGTTGCCATGGACATGAGCTGGTTTCAAGCCAGATTTTTCGATTCAGTCTCTCAGCACTTGGCCACCTCTAATGAGAGACCATTCCCGATAAGAAACTCTCCAGGATCATGGTCACCGTCGATTATGCATGTAGGCGAAGTGCCAGGACCCCTTTAGCATCATTGTCCAATGCCTCAATGGATCTTTGACGATCCATCATGAGACGAAGAGGGTCATCATGGCTTGTCGCTGGCGACTCATCTACATTGTATAGGACTTGCAGCCCAACCTTGACTGGTTCGGGGTTTCGATATCTCCTTGGGAGATGTATTGATGGAGGGAAAATCAAATGTTTGCTTTTCGTGCCGTCCACCCTATTCGAGTGCAAAGATCCTGGAGGCAGAAGCAGAGCTTGCTGTCTGGGTGTGATGGGGATGAGACGTAAACTTTCAACAACATAAAAGTCTAGGTACTGAAAAGAATGCTGTACCAACAGGATACAAAGCATCACGAAGTCCTGCCTATTCAATTCATATTCTTTTTCTTAATGTTTGCTTTGATATTTCTTATCCCACACTGGACTTTGGGTTTCCCAGATTTCCAGAAATGTACGGGATTGGTAGCCTTGCCACATCCAGCCATCGCCCGCCTATGATCGGCCACGGCAGAGCGACTCCGTTCTTGGAGCTCCACACCGAGGTGCGTCACCGCAAGGCTGGAGTGGGGGGAAAGAATAAGACGAATGCGTGCTCAGTACCAGATCATTGATAAGAAATGATAGGAGATGCTTTATGTAGATATGATACAAATATAGTCATTCAAGATACGTCTAATTATGACTGACTAATTTTTTCAATGTTGATATTATTTTATTGATGTATCAAGCCATATAAACCTAACTCTTCCTTTTTCTTTCATTCTTTCCCCTCACGTCTGGGTGCCCTCCAGCGCCCCCAAGTTCCTTCGACCTTGCCCCTCCAACAAACAAACACCCTAACAACGACATCACACTCAGACCCAATCTTGGGCTTGATACGATCCACCACTTCATGGCCTGACAACAAAACGCAACGCGCCCAAATACACTCGAATAGATAGCGGCTCTACGTATTGGCGCTCTTTGACACATTTTTCTTGGTACTCTTGAATTCGTCATTACTCGACATCGACTACGGGGAGCTTCAAGTCGCCAAACTCGGCCTTTGAAGGTGCGATCAATCCATCCTGCCCAGCTTGCGCCAGGCTGCAATAACCATCAACAGGACTGGCCAAACTCTCCCTCTTATTTTCACGCATTGAGATTAATAGGATGCCACTAACATGATCGTTACACTAGGCACCAGGCATCACAACATGGTCCGAACTAGGGCGGCTGAACGACAAAGCGTTCCTGCATCCTCCCGTCGCAACCTGTCGCAATCTATCACCACGCGTGCTACCCGAACAACAACACGTCCCAGGCGGTCGCAGAAGGCTTCCATAAGTTATAACGAGTCTTCTTCCGAAGATGGAGACTCCGAACCATCCCTGGCGGAGAGCGAACAGGATGGAGATGCCCAATTCGAGACGCGAGCTCGCAGAACCAACGAGGCCAGGTCAGCAAAGACCGCACACGTACAAACTGGTAGAAGATCGAACTCGCGGGACCAAACGAGGAAACGACCAAAGCCGGCACAGAAGAAAGGAAGCTTGAAGAAGCGACGAGTGTCTGCTGACGCAGAACCCGGGCCAATACCCCAAGGCGTCATTCCAGACTGGACAGACCCGCAGATACCTTATGCCGCCTGGACCGATATCTTCTACTATGCAGCTAGTCATGATGACATCGACGTCAATTGGCTGATAAACACTGCCACAACTTGTAAGGCATTCTCAGAAGCCGCCTTGACAGCCATTTATCGTTCTCCGCCTCTGGTCACTGCTGGAAAGGCCAAACGGTTCGCGTCTCTGCTGGATCGCCCACCTTCTGAGACTCGTTTCAATTACCGTGCCAAGATTGAGACTCTTTATGTAGATGTTCATGTGTTGCCTCAAACGTTATTACCAAGAATCCTCCATTTGCTTCCTCGCCTGAAAGAAGTCTTTCTCTTTACACAATCTGATCAGCCGCCTTACAGGCAACTGGATCAAACAGTGAGATGGCAATATACTGAAGAGATATTTGCCGCCTTCAGGCCAGCCGGAGACAAAGAGTCGCACACCGTGTTAAAAAGCTGGGAATGGAGCGGAAGCCTGCTTGGAGGGCCTGTGGCGACTATGAAGGATGTTGCCCGTATACATCAAGAGCCTTCATTTGCGCACCTCACCAAATTAAGCCTCACCAATCTTCAAGTCCCTTCGCTCTATAAGCTGGGGCCGAAAGGCGGCAATGAGGAGGAGGAACTGGCGCTGTACAATGAAGATGGGGCTGTCATTGATTCGCTCGCCGAGGCGATTTCGCAATTGAAATCGCTACAACATCTTATGTTCGAGTCTTCAACTGTCATGAACGATCGGCTTCTTCCACTTTTGCCAAAGGACCTCACTCATCTCTCACTGATCAACTGTTGGGAGGTCAAGTCAGATGAGTTTATGCCATTCCTACACACGCATGGCCGACATTTGCGCAGCCTGAACTTGTCACACAACCAATCTCTAGACATGGTCTTCCTAACCACTTTGGAAGCTGCATGTCCTAATTTAGAGGAATTATACATGAACCTCTCGTATTTCCGCCATCATGAATCCCGGTCTTATACCAACAATGACGCTGATCCTTTGTACGACCAAGTGCTATTGCCGCATCAAAAGCCAGAGTGGCCGTCAAGCCTCAGGATCATTGATTTTGAGCATATACGATATTGGAGTGTTGAGACTGCCGAAATGTTTCTCAATTCCCTCATTGATAGTGCTGGTTCTCTGCCAAATCTTCGACATCTTGCGGTCAAGACGATGCTCAACATACCCTGGAAGGCCCGCGCTAATATGCGGCACGAATGGAGGCGGAAGCTGGATAAAGTCTTCCTCCGCCCATACGAACCACCGCAAAGAAAGTATTCACTTCGGCAGACACAAGAGGAAGAAGTGGAAGCATCTACTCAGATTTCGGAGAAAAAGAAGCAAAAGTCGAAAAGGCTGCCTGATGGTCCATCTCGGCGAAGCAGTCGTCTAGCGGCACATGTTTCGGACTCTGATTCAAGAAACAGCGCCAAAGGTCTCCGTAATTCGCTTGGTCGGCCAACTTACGCCGAACCTGACACAGATGAGAATGAGTTCGATTCTGATGCAGAAGATGAAGAAGCTGAGTCCGGTACTGCAGTCAGTCAGACTGGGGATGAGGCCGAGGGTGAAAAGAAGCCTGTGCCGCTTACGATTCAAGGACGGTGTACTACTGTATCCATTGTATTCGATAACCAAAAGCCCACTGAACTGCAGTACGGCATGGAAGACTTTGTGGATGATGATCGCGCTGAGTCGGATGACGAGTGGGACGGCGACCATGAAGAGGATGATGATGCAGTCTTTGTCTGGCGTTAGCTGAGCAAAGACTTCTGTATCATAGCTGATCACTTGGGATCAGAGAAATTGACCAATTCCAGACTTAGAATGCAACATCTGCTGGCTCTGGAGTTCATATCATATTAGTATTAGGATATAGCATGAACGGTCTTGAAGCGGTTCAACTTGGGTTTTATACTGAAGTGACAAATGTTCCATCTAGCCACGTCTTTTGATCACAACTATCAGCTATACCAATATGCTGGCTCCTCTCAGGTACGCACGAATCCTTGCAAATCATAGTGAGAACGGCTTGGTCCACATTATGAATGCACCTCGGCTTGGCGCCAACTGGAGGGCAGTTCGTAACCTCTAATCATTCATGCAATTCTGTTGAAATGTGGCCGTGTACCTTTTTACTTGATCTTGCGGCATATGGCAACCGAGTCTAGGAACTGGAAGCTTGTTCAGATGCATGAATTGCAGTCTGGCCCTGAATGCAGTATAATTGTTTGTTCAATCAGAATCTGACGAAGCCACGGCTCAGTTTTTACGTCGACATCACCGCGTGGACTGTTGGTAAAATTCAAACTTGTCGATTCTCCCTCGTTGGCTTGCAGGGCAACTTTGTTTCGTACTATCGAGACTGTGTGGGGTGGTGCGTTTGGCTTACTGTAAGGTACAGAAGACTCATGAATGCTTGGTATACGACACCCTGATAAATTGCATGGCAATTAGAACCTACAATTCAGTTCATGTTCGAGTTGTTTAAGGTATTGGCATTTCCATGTGTTTGAAATACTGGCGCATCTTGTCAGTGAGCATGATGGATACCTCAGTAAATGAGCACGGCTATCATGGGGCCTAAACTAACAAAGAGGCACCTTACAAGGCTGATTATACGCGCTGGTACAATTCACATTCCAAACGCAATAGCTAGGCCGAATTCACATACAACGGGCTCATCATAATTATTATCTCTTCATACAACTGTTGTACAAGCAGGACGTCTCGACCCAATGTAAACATGAAATCTCCAAAGTCTTGGGATTTCTCATGACCAGAAGCAAATGGAAGCAACGCTTACAGGAACCTAGTCCTGCATATTCAACAATCATACAAGCATAAACGATGATCCTTTAGCGCCAAGTTCCTAACATCTTGTGGCACATATTTTTAAAATGCAGCACCACCCATGCCTTCACCAGCAAGGCTCTTCATGCTCTTCTCGCTCAGGTCACTCCGCATCTCCCACGCTCGCGAGTCACGTTCGAGTCTATTCCACGTGTAAAGGCTTTTTCGTAGCCGCTCTTGCTTCGCATGCAGTTCATCTCGCAACTTTTCCTCCTCGTCCTTCAACTTGCGATAATGTGGCTCAAGTTCTCGAGTTACGCCGAGAGCCAGAGGCGTCATGGAAGGATCCAACTTGCCGCCAGGGATGATGGGGGGCAGCGTCGCAAGCATGGATTGCGCCAAAGTCTGCCGTGCGCCACCAGCATGTTGAGCCGATGGTCCAGTCGGAGGATTGAACGGTCGAGATTGCGTCGTTGTTGAGGCTGACGATGTATTTGACGGAGTCGCGCGTGGGCCAGTGGGAATAGCTGAAGGTCCACTGGGAGTTGGAGGAGTCGGTGAAGGTCCTGAAATGTGTCTTGCTGGTGCTTGATTCCAACCACCTCTGCCTCGGGGGGCAAACCCACCTCTAGCTGGAGGCACATAACCTCGCGGGCCAGCTGGGGGGACTGTTGGGCTCGTGGTACCTGAACGTAGAGGAGGAGCCGTAGGTGTCTGAGTCCGAGCGGGAGGAGGCAGGGCTGGTGAAGATACTGGCGCTGCGGGATTTCTGTTTGCTGCAGGGCCGGTTGGAGGTGCTCTTAGCGCTGCAGGGCCTCGTGGCGGTGATCGAGCGGGGGCTGATGTGTTTGTATCATAAGGTCCAGGTCTTGGTGCCTCCCTTGGTGGTGCCGCACCAGACATAGCATGATGATGAGGAGACTCTTCTCGAGATTGAAGTGGTGAACGAGCTCTCACGGAACTCGGTCGCGGTGACGATCTTCCAGAAGCTGACTGAGAAGTGATCGCAGATGAGATTCCAGATTCTCTCGGGGGGCTGACACGCCTGTATGACTGCCATCGGTCATTTCCCCTTCGACTCATAGAACGTGAACGTGGTCTATATGAGCCACCACGAGGACCTGTCACGGGAGACCGCACAGGAGGAGTTCTGTCGCGGCGAATCACACCAAATGGAGACCTAGATCGCCGCCTTTTGTCAGTTAGTCCCACGCTATCAACATGGGGCAAGTAAGTTCACCTTTCGTCACGCCGCTCGAAGTCACGTCCCCTATCACGTACTCTGTCACGGTCCCATTCTCGATCTCTGACCCTCTCACGATCGCGTTCCCAATCTCTGCCAGGGGCAGGAGACCGGGGCCTTTCATATCTATCCGCTCCACGCGGAGGAGAAACTCTCCGGGACAAGCTACGTCGGGGAGACGGCCGCCGCATAGACCTACTACGCTCCCGCCGGCGCGGACTCTCTCGTTCTCTTGATCGCTCTCGCCGGTATCGGTCTCCTCCACTTCTCGACCTACGACGTGGTGGGTATCTGCCCGGCACATAGCTATCGGATCCAGAAGGAATTGGACTTCGGGGACGTGGACTTCTAGGTCGCGGGCTCCTTGCTCGCTCTCTAACCGGACTTCTAACCCGCCTAGGCGACCGGTCTCGAGGAGTGGGCCTCCATGACTCTCCAGCGCCGTATCTAACGACTTCCCCATCATCAAACCTTTTTTTTTTTTTCATGTTAGTAATTGCGCTTTGAAGTTTAAAAGACCCTGAGAAGGAAAGAAAGAAAGAAAGAAAGAAAGAAAGAAAACAAAAACAAGACGCAGATGAATAAGCGTAGAGTAATTCGAGTCCTGTGGCATGCTGCATCGTTAAGGTCCTTGCCAATTTCTGGCAGAGGGCAGGCTAAATATCGTGCCATGGTTAAGGCGAGTAGGAAGGCAGGCGTACAGTCTCTAATCCTGGTAACATCTTGATTATGCGAAACCACGGTTGAGTGTTGACACGCCGGTCTAGAATCCCTTTATAAGCCGGCCAGCGTTGTTTGACACGCTCCCAAGCATCATTCCCTGTGGTTGCAGCAATGCTCTCCATCCTCGCTCTGACGAGCCTGTGGAGTGGGACGTAATGCTGGCAAAATGGGTGGAAACCTAGCATCATCTCCTAGGATATGGGTCGGAATGGGTCGAACCAAAAGCACGACTCGTTCCCATGAACATGCATCTTTTGGTCCCTCGTGGTAACCCGAACGACAGAGCGACCGAAGTGATATACCGAATAGGAGAATAGATGGACAATCATCCGAATCGCTATTGGTTCATGGCCTGGTTGATGACGATGGCTTGGCCATCCGCAGGTGACCAACCAAATAGAGCGAATGTTCCAATGTCGTTCGACATTCCTCTGCACAAGCTCGCCAGGCGCCTGCTCGAACTCGGAGGCATCTTTGATGATTTCGTGAAAGTCGCTGCCGTCTTCCCCCCTCACGATATCACCAGCCATCGAACGATCGTTCAGTTGATCGATATTCTCTCGAGTTTGGGTCCGGGGCCACAGCACGAGACGTGGGTCGAACAAGTCGCATTGCTCAAAGTGGTAGGTCATCGTGTAGCGTGTTTCGAGGGTGTCCGCGGGTGGTGCTGGAGATGCCGAAATGGTGTCGCAAAACGATGGGAGATGTAACGATGATGGTGATGATGAAGAAGAACGCAAGATGCAATACAGAGAAGCAAACGGTTTATAACTCACCTTCGACCTCGGTCGCGATCCATTCTTGCCTTACTCAGGATAGATATGATGCACGGCAAGTGCTTCTGTCGATGCGTTGTGATTTGGCTTTATGAAAGCGCAAGCACGCGTGCGAGTCGCAAGTTGGGTCAATGGAGCCTCCAAAAATGGAGGACCAAAGCAGGGAGGTCGGAGATTCGACATCCCGACTTCCGTGACTAACCCGATAGCAGATAAGCACGGTCTCAATAGAGACACACACATACTATACACACTGTATTGCTTCAAGACCAGGAACATAACATGTCATACTCGTGCGACAGTTATTATGACTTCCATAGGTGATAAATATGATACCGGTACAAAAACGCTGCCTAGAGGTATATAATAACACACATAAGGAAAACAGACTCTATCTCCAGTTGCGCTACTCACCAAGACCTGCAAGAGCAAGAACATTCGCACTATACAAGGGGAACACCCAGCTTCTCCTAACTTGTAAATAACATCATTTCCGAGACCGAGTTTATGACTTTTCATCTTCAGTCATATCAGCATCTGCTACTTCTTCGACCCTCTCAAGAATCCACTCCCGTGCCTCTTTGGCGTGATGCGCCATCATCTTGTTCAGACCAAACATTGGACTACGGACGACTGTCCCGAAGCGTCGCTTGTTGACTTTTCGAGTCAGATCAGGATCAGCCCAGCATGCATGATCGCCTGCAATGTAGACTCGTGAGTTCTCTTTATACCACGACGATAGATCTGAATCAAACTCTGACTTGACTGGCCTGAGCGTTCCATTGGCAAAGTTTACCACCCCAGAGATTCTTGACTTGCAATCTATTTCGTTTTAGAAATTATTTGAGATAGAGGCTCATGTCAACGAGTCGACTTACCTCGGTTAATAAGAAGGACTTTGACTCCAAGATATGCATTGCCAACGCCCATGACGAAAATGTGATCGGCATCGTAAAGCTGCAAGTAATTGTCCCACAGGTAACACACCAACGTCTGGATCTGTTCTGTGAGAGCCTTCTCTTTGAAACCAGGTACATAAGAGTCGGATTCCTATACCAAGGGTTAGAGATAAACCACTACTAATGAATGTAATCACAGACCTCGTCGTGGGTGACATAGGCTGGGATATTAACGTCCATGACACCGAACTTTTGATCAACTGCCCAGTCAATGTAGTCCGTTACACCATCGACCTATTCTTATCAGTTCTTGCATCGCGTATTATTACTAATGTCTACTCACCACCCAGGCGTTATGAGGGTCGACAGATCTGTCTATAACATCTGGCTGAGCGAGAAGCTCGGGGCTAAAAGATGATGTCAGTAGTCAAGACCCTGGTCCTAACCCTCTCCTCATGCAATTGACTTACGGATCGTGAATGATAATGAGAACCTTCTTTTCCTTGTGAAGGCCTGGTGTCACTAGGACCTGGTTCTCGTATGACTTGTATAGATGCTCGCGCTGGATGTAAAGAGGTATCATGTTATGCTTTGTTTGCAGAACCTGCCTCTGGGCGTTTCTGATCACGTCATGTAGACGGCTGGATATCGCTGGCTGGATGTCGGTAGGAATACGAACGATGCCTGCCCTCATACACTCCCAATATGGGGCCTGATGAGCTTGGACCTTGGCAAGTATGCGTGCGGCCTCCTTATTGATCTTAGGAATTTCCATCTTTGGTGGTGGTTCACCCATGAGTGTCTTCGCAACGGCCACTGCAGACACTGAGATAGCCTTAAGATTGTACCCGCCCTCCAGACACACTGCAACCTTTCCGTCAGCCAAGGACATCAACATGTGTGTCATATGAGCGTAGCAGCTGGGAGAAACGAAGCAGCCACCAAGCTCATCACCATCAGCAGCATCAAATCCCGCAGAGATAACCACGAGGTCCGGATTGAACTCTTTGGCGATGGGCATCACAATCTTCTGGAATGCCGCCATGTATTCCCCGTCACCCATGCCTTGGTCGTGCCAGCCGATATTGATGTTTTTACCCAGGCCAGCATCTGTTCCGCATTTGTCGATTCCACCATCCGGTGTCATATCATTGGGGGGTTTACCGGGATAGAAGAGACCGTTCTGGTAGACGTGGAGAGAGATATACAAGACGTTTGGGTCCTGATAGAAAATGTTTTGGACACCGTTACCGTGGTGAACATCCCAATCCAGGATCAGAACCTTTCGGCAAATGTCTGGATAGTCCTGTTGGCAGACCCTGACTGCTACTGGGACGTTGTTGAAGAAACAAAAACCCATTGGCGCATCAAACTCTGCGTGATGGCCTGGTGGCCTGATCACGGCGAATGCGTTCTTGACTTGACCAGTCACGACGTTCTTGCAGGTTTCGATGGCTCCCCCTGCTGAAAGTAGGGCGGCCTGATAAGACATACTACCAACATAGAGAGATTCCCGCCCTTGATCATATTGCCTAGTCAGTTCTCGAAGCTCGGCCAAACTTATTTTGTCAAGGTTTTCTACCCAGCTAAAGTGATCAGGATGATGGGCGAGGCAAATCTCCTCTCGGGTGGCAGCACGAGCAGGTATGCGCCACATATAACGTGTGGGACACTCCCGCATAATTCTTGGCAACTCTGCCTCGGGACCTGTATAGACGAGGCCAACCTTCTTGAACGCCTTGAATATCTCGTGGATGCGACGGGGATCTTCAGGATGATGTGCGTTCGGTGAAAAGTCCGCATTCATATGCAACTTCATCCGGTCATCATAACAACAGCCTGTTGGCAACAAACCTCTACGACGCATCTGGTCGAAGGTTATATCTTGAGGTAGTGGATCTTCATCCTCCTCGCATGGATCCTCGGATGCCGTATCATCGTCGTCGATACTGGTGTTGCTAGTACGGTTGAACCCATTAGGCGCTTCTGCATCCTTCATTGGATGATCAACAGCATCTGTGATACTTGTCTCCATGGCAGGCAATCTCCAATATCCTCACTGAAGGTCTGACGACCCCAGGAGTTGCGAATATACTCGAGAGAGCCAAAACCTGTGGATTGCTGAAGTAAATAAACACCAGCAGATGGATCTATACGCAAGTTAGAAAGTTTATGGCCGAGTTTACAAAAATTCGTTGACCATTATTGTCCGGGAAAACAAAGGAGGTGCTCGAGAACAAAGATAAGTTGCGTGTTAGCGAAGTGAATTACATGAGCCAAAATGACACACGGCTGGCCATTGTTTTCACAAGCGCATAAGCTCCTTGGTTTACTTGGCACTCAGGCACATACAAGAGCATTATGCCTAGGTCTGCAGAGCTGAGTGCATCAAAGCACATAAAAGGATGTGAAAGATGATGATGCCAGCCCGAACAAAACAATCCACTTACCCCTGCTAAGTATGGCGCGATCGCAACAGCGAGGAGAGGTTATAAAGACGTGAGTGCATACGCTAGCCTCTTATAAGAAGGTTCTGGAGAACTGAGATATGAGTAAATCCAATGCTAAGTGGTGGGTTGAGATGCGCGATCGGGTTTAATCGCGGTGGTTGATATTAGCTCTGAGATTAGATGTATGAGAGTGGAAGGAGAAGTGAGGCTCAGCTGTGGAGGTTGATTTTGGCGCGCGGGCTCCCCTAAGGTTTCAGGCGCTACTGGCCACTGAGTGACCCGCGGCCGCCCTCCATCGATAAGGCACCTAACTTTCTAAGTTAGTGGGGGCTACTGCTTGGCCGCAAACAGTTGATAATTTCTTTCTTCAATCCATACCTCAGATGCCTTAGGTAGAAAGGGCATTGTTCCTTACCTAGGTATTCGCTGATCATGAATCATTTGGTTGGACTGCGATTTTGAAGAAATATCTCTCCTGACTATCCCAGCTGCTACAAAGAGTAGCTAATCTACGGCAGTAATTCACGGTCGACTGGTTAATGCACTGGTGAGAACGTAGCATCTGGGCGATTCAGGAGACACCACGGGTATTACTCAAGCAGGGAATCTGTTTCTAATAAATGAGAAGCCTTCGACTTAATTTCGATCACATCTGACGATCCACGTGCAGTACTCCAACAGATACTGCCACAATCCATAAACTTCATGATTAACCAGACAAACGATAACATGTCTATCGACGGCACTCAGGCCTAAGCGAACGAAACCATATACCTACCCTCCATCCTTGTCTGACGCTGGACATCCTCCAGATAAGATCCATCATCCCCACGAGGCGAGTAGTGAGATGAAGACCGAAGCATCCGGGCTTCCCCTGGCAATGTCCCATCCAAACTGGCATCACTTCCGAACTTGACGCGTTCAGCGTCGCGCTCATCATCCCAGTCAATCACACCTCCTAGGCCATCCAGAGGCAAAGTAGGCATGTTCAAGGACCACTGTCGCTCATCCAGGACACATTGTGTTGACACCGAGATAGATTCTTGGTCGAAAGTGAGATTTGGTTGAAGAGACCGGGCTTCCGTAATAAGGCGTTTTCGAGGGTAGCTATAGATGTTCTCAAATAGATGCATAAGATCTTTAGGGCCAAGTTTGCAGTAAGTCTTTACAATACGGCCCCAACGACTCTGATCCCGCCAGCCTCTTGCCAAGGAGTCAGGTCGGTCGACAACATCACAAAGATACGAATCGCAGCCCTCCTAATGGCATGTCAGTAATGAGCCCCGAAAGTCTTAGTGCAAACCTACATATTCGTCTTGACTAGGGTCAAGCCGCGGGCAGAGATAGTGGAGGACGACATCCTTCATGGTTTCGACCAGGTCCATCAGCTCTACCAGCTCGCATGTAGAGTATAATCGAAGTTGGCTTAGTCTAACGTCATCCACGCCAGGCTCTGGAAGGCCAACACGAGGTCGGGGGAAGTCTCCGTGAAAGTAGAAGCCATAGAGCCACCATCGATACATGGCTCTGCGGAACCTCTCAGCCTCGTGCTCGCGAAGCAGACGACAATTTTCGGGCTCATGGAACCATCTCATCTGAGGGAACCTGGCTTGCCATCTCAGTACAAGGGAACAGTAGCCGAGAAGTGGCTTCAGATCGTTCTCAGTCAGAACAACGGTTTTCAGTGGTTGAGCGCGGGGTATGATAGGTTTGCTTGGCTTGTTCAGCGTGATGAATCCTTCAACAGCGTCCGCTGACACAGCAGGCTGATGCTCTGAACGCGGAGCTAACACCATTCCAGTGTCTCCAAGGAAACGTTTAAACACGACTCTGCGTGGAGCATACAGTCCACCGCGGGAATCAAGATCCTCAACTGAAGCCGTATAAACCTGAAGGAGCTCATCAAACGGACTGAACTCCCTGACAAGGACAGGAAGTAAGATCGAGGCCTTTCTCTTGTCGAAGAGTTCATGTAGCGTCCTGTGAGTGGCGCAAAGGTTGAAAACACCATCCAGGTCTAGTTGTTGATAGATGTCCAAAAGGATCTCAGTTGGAAGCCCAGTCAGGCGATGGTTTTTTGGCATCTTCGGTGCCATGTTTACAGAAGTTACCATGATCGGACGTCTGATATAAAGGGATTGGGGATAGATGGGGGAAATGTTCGGTCGAATTGTAAAAAATTGGGTTTTGGAATGGACAAAATATCTGCAGGTAAAGACGACAACAACGGTCCTCGTCTGTACACCACGTACGTGATTATACAGTCTCACTACAGAACCAGGGTCGCCGATCTGACGGGTGCTATGAGGAAGTTAGGCATGAAATTATGCCTGGAAAGGGGAAGAAAAGGACGGACCTGATAGACTTTGCATTTTGTTTACTTGTAATGTTGTAGAGGAACCAAGATTCAAGAAAACCAAGTTGCTGTATCCTCGGATTGTACTCGTCTTCACTGGGAGAGAGTTGATATGAGAAAAGTGTTGTTATAAGAGCAGTCTGGCCCTCGTCGCTTCAAGGTATCTCACTGTTGAGTCACCTAAAGCGTCAATAATACGGGGCTTATTGTTCAGCCACCCCGGCGCTGGGGCTTGAGACAGAAGTAGAGATGCACACAGGCATCGGTTTTTGGGTAACTGTGATTCTCATGGCTGTATTCAAGTGCAATGCTCGTCTGCAATATGCACTGATTGAATATACAGTGAGGATGAGGATGAAGAAGGAAAGGGGGACGACTGATATAGGTCATGACAAAGTCGCGACTTGGGTTGCGCACTGATAACAATCTGCCGAGTTTCATCCGGGCGGGCTAAGTGATGATGCGATAGCCTTCAGGACCTGACAACCCTGAACTGAGCCTTAGTACTTTTGATTACTTTATTACCTAGTGAGTGACTGGGGGAATACAATCAGGGAGGACAAAATAAGACGAACGGCGTCGTTAGCGATAACTAAAGTATAATATTCTCTCTTTTGGCAAATAAAAACGCAGTATGACCTAAAACTCCAACACCCCGTCCCGGTGTTCAGACCCAATGGATCAAGCCAGTAAGTACTTGGTTATATCGGCAGGTAAGGTATCAAAAAGTTTAGGCGAACAACATCTTGGTATCCAGCTCATCCTTGGCCGGTCGCTGGCCGCCAACAGATCGCAGTCCGAGGTCGCCCTTCCTGACCCGTCTCTCCACCTCTTTTTCTGCGCGGGCGTTGTGTCGCGAGGCCTTTGTCCTTCGAATATCGGCTCGGACCTGGTTTGGTGACACAAATTCCTTGTTTTCATAGATAATAGGTCCACCGAAAGAGCCCTCCTGGATCACGATCGGTGTCAAGACGAATCGGGGACCGATCTCGACCAGGTTGATATCCGTATCAGGCTTGCCAGATTGAGACTTGGTTGTCTCTTCCTCCTCCTCACCCTCCTTGGCTGTCGCCTCGACCTCGTTGATTTGATAGTTGCGAACCCAGATCTTGCCATCGACAAAGCTAAATCCCATAACGTGGTCGATAAAAGGCTTGGATTTTCTGGCGCCCTGGGGAACACCGAAGGTGTGGAGGAAGAGCTCCTTGATCACTCGGAGGTGAGGCTGCTTGTCGAAAGCGCCGTCGAAGGAGAGAACGGGCCGCGATCCCTTGAGACAGTTGCCGGTGAAGTGAAGTTCCTCCATGGTGTGCACTGTTCGGTGTTAGCCTGGGATAAAAGCATTGTCTGGTGTCAACTCTTACAGTTCTGGAGGTGGAACTTGATGGTAGGTCCGTTAGGGACTTTGCTGAGCCAAACATATAGATCCTTGCCCTTTCTTGCCTCGAAGAAGAGCACGTTGTTGCAGTTGTAAAGCTCAGCCAGCTCGTTCAGTTCGTACAGCTTTGTCTTGGAGTCGAATTTTGCATCTTTTCGGCTGTGGGGGAGCATCGCCGCAATGTCGTTTAGAAGATGGCGATGTCTTGGGAGGAGTAGCAATGTTAGTGGAATGCGCCCTGCATCCGAGTCGTGGGATTACCTACCGGTAAGTGACGCCTCTAGAAGAGAGGATCAGAACCCTCTGCTTGTTCTTCTTGACGCCATTGCTAGGAGCCTCTGCCTTTGTAGTGCTGGACTTAGAGATAGACTTGTAGACAGCAGCCATTTTGATTGAATCCCGACGTTGCGATTGAGATCGGTTATCGAAAAAGCTGTGTTAACTTGGTGATGATTTTACTGGACCAGGCTTTGCGACGCGGCGGACAATTTTCCAAAAAAATTTGGTCGGCTGAGTCTCGATAAGAATTGAAAGGTCGCGATAAGAGAGTGGGGGTGCTGGAGGTATCAAGGTGGAGCCGCGACACCGCTCTAGCAGTCGAGACAAGCCGTGCCAGGGGGTCCTCTAAAGTCCAGGGGACATGCAGTACATAGCACATGTTTTCTGAAGCAGAGCCACTCAGAAAGCTTTGATCTAAACCTTAGGAATGCATTGCGTGAGATGAGGATAAGTAGAGTAGATCGGATCGTGCCTAGTAGTAGATTGATAGCCCGTCCACTACTTCATCAGTGTCAGATAAATATCCAGTGGTACCCAATTAAGGACTGCATGTGATGAATGAGAATTGCCCCGCTAACTGAAGACCCTGAGAACGAGCTGTGCACTAGCTACTAAATCAATTCGATACCAATTCACCCACAGGGCCAGTACCTGTTTACGTCCGGTCGGATCTGATCAGCATGACGTGGAGGCGTACACAGATTGTGGCGTTTAACTCGAATGCGGTACAAGCGAGGTGGTGCAGAAGGTATAGAGGTACAGAGGTACAGCTCATTAGAGGGCGAACATTATAAAGAATTCATTCAGCTACGTTAAGATGACCGTGTCGCAGCGATCGTTGGACGCATCAACCCCAAGACAACCATCATGACAAAAAATAAGAACAAAGGAAAGCCGAAGTAACCGCGCCTTCTGATATCAAAAAAAGACGTATCACGATTCCTCGCCTCCTCCACTCTCCTTTAGCGAGGAGCATTTTCGGGGACAAACGAGACGCCAGGTATCCCAAACCCCCAAAGCTCTATATCCGTCTGCAAACGGCTCTGCGAGGAATTTAACAGCACTTTCCACCCTTGGCAGCATCGTCGTCGGCAGGCTTGCTGAGGGAGATATTGGTGCCTGCGCCTATGGTGGCCTGGGCGCTGTCACCGCTGTCGAGGGCCTTGCTTGAAACAATGCGATAAATTTCTGGCCATATTGTCAGTTCAAGCTACAGAGGTTGAAGGATTGGATGGATAACGAACCAGTCAGAATGTTCTGGAATGCAAGTTCGACGTTGCTGGCATCGAGGGCAGAGGTCTCGATAAAGGACAGGTGGTTCTCGCCTGCAAAAGTGTCAATAAGAGGGACCCTCCTGTGTCAAGTTCGGTAGGATTTTCGTACTAGCAAAAGACTTGGCCTCCTCGGTGGGAACAGCTCTCAGGTGTCGCAAATCGCTCTTGTTTCCAACCAGCATAATGACAATGTTGGCGTCGGCATGGTCTCGCAACTCCTTGAGCCATCGTGTGACGTTCTCGTAGGTCTGGTGCTTGCTGATGTCGTAAACGAGGAGAGCGCCAACAGCGCCTCGGTAGTAGGCGGAAGTGATGGCGCGGTATCGCTCTTGGCCAGCGGTATCCCAAATCTGGGCCTTGATTGTCTTTGAGTCGACCTGGATGGATCTGGTGGCGAACTCGACACCGATGGTCGACTTTGAGTCTAGGTTGAACTCATTGCGGGTGAATCGACTGAGAAGGTTGGACTTTCCGACTCCAGAGTCTCCAATCAGGACGACTGCAGGTTCACAATGTCAGTAAGGGGCGATCGCAAACGTCGGGCCAGGCGTGGCCTTTGAGAGATGGTAATGACGGCACCTTTGAAGAGGAACTGCAAAGGGGGCCCACAGGTCAGCAACTGGCGGGACATGAAAGACTAAGGAGGGTAGGGAAGGGGACGAGACGTACATCATACTCGTCGTTGGCCATGACTACGGTGGTGTTTCTTCAGGTATATTACTGAGAGGAGCCAAGTTGGTGTATCGAAGATGAGGATGAGGTTGAAGGCGAGTGCGCTGGCGCTGCGAGAAAGACAAGTCGACGTCGTTGAGGTGTGGGATGTGGAGAGGGAGAGAATGCGCGGCTCTGGCGATAGGTGGTTGTTTGTACCTCGACGTCCAGTCCCCGTGCCGAGGGGTAAAGACTGGGCTGGCTGGGCTAAATTCTAACTGGAGCTACCTATGCTTTCAGGTAGGGGGGAGGAGCCTAGAATTAGGCGCCTCTTTGTTAGTGGAGGTAGTCACCTAGCGGTCGCACAAAGACACCCACTCTACCACTGTGGCCAGGTAGCGAAAGTAGTGCTGTTCGCATCACTGCTAGGTTCCAGTATAAAAATCAAGGGAATGCAACCTGTCCCCAAAAATGGCTGTTCTTGAGTCGATTGTTGGTCAGAGCTAACTTATGTGCCTTAGTGTGTAATTTGCCAACTTAATATTAATGGATGGAATAGGCAACAACAAAGAAAGCTTCAAGTCGTAGATGTAATTGTCAGCTACCGAATCCGGACACATTCTGATGTGTTAGGCCAGGACTAGTAACCGCATGATGTAGTAGAAGGATGGCTGCATCATCTATATCTCTTCATAGCACATATCCGTAGAGCTGGGTTTTTGCGTTGCCTGGGATAGGACTAACCGCATCAATGTCGCTCGCTCCCATTGCAACCTACAAATTAATCACTGACCGCTTTCAGATATGCAGGACCTTTTTTTTTAACCCGATACTCCTTACAAACCTGGTCGCATATCATAATGTTGTAGTCTTAATGCACATTCTTGTAACCTGGTCCTTTCCCTCTTTCTTCTGTCGGTAAGCCCATAGAGTCACAGTCGCTTAGATCCACTAGAGCATGTTATCAGAACACTTTATAATCATGGCGATTTTACTGAGGAGCCAAGGCACCTCTGGATTTTCGCCGCTCTTCTTGGTTTTGAAGTCATGAAGCGATGGATGTTAGGAATATGCCGACCTAGCTGCTTGCCGTACTAGTTTATTATGGGTGGAGTTCATGAGGAACAATCTTGACAACTGTGACAATATAAAACCGAACCTTAGTCCTTGACAATAAAGATGCCGAGAATGTAATCAATATGCCTTATGGATGCTTCCAGCAAGATTCGAGTCGTCATTAGACGTTTAAAGCCAAACAAACAGGTGGATGGCCTCGATGAAGTCGGGGTCTAGGTTAGGCTTTCTGGACAAGCAAGGGACTGTGCAAATGAAAAGGAGAGACCAAGGGTTTAGAGCTGACACATCCATCGATGATACGAGTCTATGATAAAGCACTTGCACATGCAGATGATTTGATCTCCAAGTCGTAAATCAATGAGGATTTCATTTGGGTTTTATACTCGCACCTCAGTGCCTTGGATATGGGATTAACAGGCGTCGATGAACTAAGCCGCTTACGTGATCTCGCGACCTGGCAGGCACCTTCCAAACAGCCCAGGCCAAGCCGGTCCCACACGCGCCCAGCCTGAGTGAAGCTCTAGCTTAATGTTAGAGAAAGGAGAAAAGAAGAGATCAAGACCGGCCCGTGATCTCATTTCATTTCTATAATCACTCCCTCACTTCACCGAAATCAGACCTTGTCGTCCAAATTTGGGAGTTCATTCATCGCGCTGAGGTGTCAATAAAAGCAAACTCACAAAATCTCAAATCAACTCTATTCAATACGAAACAAACTCAACCGTATACCTCAGTGAGTTTGACTACTCCACCTTGTTCATTGCAAAACCACGGCTGACTTCATTTCTTTTAAGAGTGGGAAAGTATCAGCGGCTGTTGGCGGTTGAACCTTATGATACACATGAAGAGCATACGCCAAAAGACGCCCAAATGGATGACTCTGATAGTGAATCAATAGTCTCCACCATCGTTAGTGAACACGACTATGATGAAGAATGGACCGTGAATGAAATATTGGCCGAATGGCCTATCGATGGCCTGCCACGATATCTCATCGAATGGGAGAACTTTGATTTGTGCGAGGCAACCTGGGAGCCTGCAGAAAACTTGAGCAATGCCCTCCTGGAAGGTTGGGAGAAAACAAAACCGCGGGATGATTTTGACATGTTCAAGAACATTCGAGATTGGAAGAATGCCGTCAAGTCCAAATATGCTGCCAAGCTCGACCGCCACCAAGAAAGAAATCGGCGCAGAAGGCTGAGAGGCGAAGAGGAAACCTCGTTCGTAGAGATGGAAGATCATCTTAAATGGGCCGATCGATTTCCAGATGGTGAAGAGCCCAGCGGTTCTGTCGTCTCTAGTCCGTCTGTAGTCACAGACATTGACATGGATGTTGAGGTCGGACACCTGTCACAACATTTCGACAAAACACAAAGAGCTTCCGCAAGCCTAAGTGAAGATAGTTCGCCAAAAAGTAGTCGTCGAAACAGCATAGCATCTGTCCATCAGCCTCCACGACCGCCAATGAACTCAGCTGCGACTACAACTACAATCCCATCCGCATCCTCAATCAGCCAGAAGCCACCACTGCGACGGCAACCAAGCAAAGTCCTTGCTGATAACAAGAGACCACCACAAAAGCCAGTTGCTTCAAGCAATCTCTTGTCATCAAAGTTCGGCGTTCGTGGACCGATAAAGCGGACCGATAGTCGCCTACGCAAGGAGCAACCGACAAAGGCTCGCAAGACCCGACCTGCGCAAGCCTTCACAGGAAACGTATTTTCAGGGGGCACAGTGAGAAAGCAGCGCACAACTCTGGCCGAAGCTGCTAAAGATTCCACCAAACAGTCGAAGCTTTTGAAGCCACGGTATGTGAGGATCATACAAAAAGCAGGTCGCGACAGAGAAAGCGCTGCACCTGCAAAACTACCGACAGACCTCATCTCTCTGAACCCAGCGGAGCGATCTGCCGACGGTCTGACTGCCTTACCGTTGCGTCCCGAAATTCCGAATGAAACAGTCAAACCCATCCGACAAAATAAGAACTCTGCTGAAATCATTTCCGAGGCCCCAAAGTCAAAGCCCAAGAAGTCAATTAGTTGGGGCACCGTTGAAGAGGCAACGATACCCGCCCGTGGAGAGCGAGAGGAAAGTCTCTTCTTACGCGAGGATTCTCTCATTCGAGCGACGACATCAATTAAAATAGAAGATGACCCTCGTGAAGCCGAGACAAACGCTGGGCCACAATCCGAGTCGACCTTCCAGACAAAGGCTTCAGACAACCAAGAATGTTGGGCTGGGAGAGCCCCTATTATGAATGATGAATCGAGCTCTTCTAACAAATCCATCACCACGGAAGTGCAGTTTGGCCCAGGAAGTCGGGAAACATTCTCGGTTATTTTTGAAAGAGACGAGGATCAGAATGGGCAGCCTTGGTCGGGTATCTTTGAACAGCACCCCATCCTAATTTTCACACACTCTTGTATGACGCGGGACTTCTGGTCTCAAGAGACTGCCCTGGCTGCTGCCAAGCTGGGCACCGGCTCAGTGACAAGCAATGGCGACCTAGATAGTTTGGCTACAGTTGCGAATTGGCTCTGTGTAAGATCTGTGGGGGTTCTCCTACATCACCAAGAACTGTGCATCTTCCTATATGCATCGTTTAAAGAGTCTGTATTACTACATTTTTACTTGTTTCGGCCTTCTCCTCACCTGATAACGCGCTCGCTTGCGCCGATTGTACTTCCAGAGGGCGTTGGCGGTGGCGATGTCCTGCCACAAATGATACCGACAGTTTTCAACCGGCTTTTGGGATTCCAGTATGAGCAATTACTACCAGAAAAGGCCCTCATGGATTATAGCAACCACAACTTCTTCCTGGTATTTCCAACGAATGCTGTGGAAGAAGCTCACTTTCTGAGCGGGTGGCTACGAAGTTGCAACCCTCAGTGTAGGTTGCTTTCTAGCCTCACCACTGGACACTGGTCTAGCTTCAGGAAGCTAGACCAAGGCGTGGTCATCGTGCATGAAGAAGCAATATGGGCCACGCGACTGTTTCCTTCAGTCTGGACTCTCCTTCACAACGTGCCAAACTTCAATTTCCGCCTCTTTTCCATATCTCTGCAACCTTCACCCTTTTATCCCTCTCTTGGCCAACCATCCCGGATCGGGGATGTCACTCTGCAAACTATCTGCGGACAGAAGAAAGCTGTATTAGTTACTCCCAGTTTTGTTATCTCACAGCCTCAGCAGGCCTGGGCTTTCTTCAAGTGGGCTTACAAATATTGGCTGCAACATCGCGGCGCTTTTACGCTCATCGTATGTGCCGAGTTTGAGAATTGGGTTCACGAGGTAGCTGTTGGGGTCAAGGAAGACTGGGAGACGCATTTAGAGAGTATCCGAGTACGTGAAGAGGACAAAGCGACAGCCGAGAAAGAAATCGATGCTCTTTTTAAGTGCTTGCAACATGTCAGAGAGATAACAGGACCTTCGGACGATGACCAACCGGCTCTGGTGTTCGCGCCTGATTCGATTGATGGCAACGATGAGCAGAGTCTTGTCAACTGGTTTGGGTGGTGGTCTATTTTGAATTTGGACCAGTATCGGCATTTCACCGTGCTCGGATCAAGCCCTAATGCTGGCATTCAGAGACTCACTCACCAGATCCGGATCCCCCAATATACTCCCTCAACTTTGGGTAACCCAGGTGATGTTTGGGGAAAAGTTAACCCTGCCGGCTCCTCCCTTGTCGCGCAGAATCAATCAGCTGTGGAGAGAACACCTCAGAAAAGACTCCAATTAATCCCTCGCGATGACGCTGTATCGTTCAAGCACTTCCTAGGAAAACTAGAAAACAATATTCGGGACAGGGACTGGGGCCCCCAGGCAGTCTTCACTTGCCCCGTCTCTTACTGGAATATGGATATGGCACATGATTTTCCCGAGTTCGAAACATACGATAGATGCCTTCGCTATTTCAATGAAAGGATTCATGGCCACACCTTTATCAATACTGGTGTGGCCTTCTGCTACACGATTGAAGGATCCTGGAAGTACGGCGACAATCGAGAAGCCACAAACAAGAACCAACGGCCGTGGATTGCTGTATACAGACCTATTGAGGTATTCAAGAAGCCATGGCGTGCAATGGAGTTGATAATATGGGACCCTGTCATGAAAATGCCGGACAATGATTCATACGTTTACGATGGGGAACTTATTGAAGCACAACGCGAAATGATACGGCTTGCTGAAGAGCCCCACAACAAAATGCCGCTGGCGAAAGTATGGATTGGGGGACCAGATGTGATTCCGCAGGGGCTTATTGACCCTGTCGATATCACTATCCACCAGCTTCAGCATCTTATGAGGAATCTGAAGGCATCTATTCCAGCCGTACCGCCAGTGATGATATCTCAGGGATGGAGGGAAGTCAGACCAGGGAATGCGCCCATCAGATCACGGCCACCCTCTCCAGAGGCAATGGACATTGATGAACCTACGGATACAAATGATGCGGCAGATGAGGACCTGAAGATTGTTTTTCATGCTCCTCGTGGGAAGAATATGGATCGGCCGACCAAGTGCAAAAACCGCCTCTTTATGCATTGCGCAAATAAAAGGAGTGAGGGATACCGCGGAAGAACGATGAATTTTGTCTTCAGACCAACTCTGGACTGGTACGATGAGCAGGTACAAGAAGGCCGAGGTTTCGAGCATATTAGGGTTATGCCGTGGCCAGCCTTTTTCTCCAAACATTCAATCGAAGTCCCTGAGCGACCTGATATGGGCTCAGAGCGGAGGGCCAAGGAGGCAAATAACTAGGGCATGCCGCATGGAGGGGTTCATTTCTACGTGATACCATGATGGATGGATGTGTAGGGGGTATATTGACATGGTTATGTATGACGATGGAGTACTGTAAAGACTAAATGTACATTATGAAAGCTTTCCCGAGAGCAACACAGATGATATGAATTGCCGTTTTTAGAACCTGGTTTCAGAAATAAATCATCGTGCCGAGGCGGGGAAGTTTCTCGTGCTTAGCAAGACTCCCTTCACACGCCGGATGTTATCCCGCACCTTGCGGATTTCATCATCTGGCTCAGGCTTGCGTGAGCGGCCGTACAAGTCATAGCCAGTACTGTGATCGGGATACGCAGTGTACGTCATTGTGTCGAGGTCATCCCGTAGCACGTCAACAGCAGTTTTGATCTTATCCATGCCTTCGCTCTGGGAACGGTATTCATCCTTCAGGCCAGAAAGAGTCTTGTTCAAACTAGCCAGTTGATTGGTGTTATGCTTGGCAGCTGACTCGTTATTCTTGGAGTCTGTCATCGCTGTCACAGAGCTTATGGGGAATGTGGTTTGAGTGCCCATGTCCCTGTGGAACATCTCCGTAGGGTCTTCAGCATCGCTCTCCTCCTCGACTGCGGCGATGGGTTTCTTGGGAGGAACCTCGGAGACGGTCTTTTCAAGCTTTGCGACGAGGGCATCGAGTTTTCGCGAGGTCAGGTCGTGGAAATCTGTACGGGCTTCGGCCTGACTGTCAACCATAGGCCGAATAACGTAACGACTTGTGCCATAGATGAGGGTGGAAAGGCCAGTGACTGCGTAGAGGGCGTTGAAAAGACGCTCCTTTGTAACGAGAGGAGGAGGACGGGGTGCCTTCGCAAGGAATTCAGGGTATGTGACGACTGGGGGTCGGTCGACGGGCGGATGGGAAGCTGGTGTTGGCGGGAGAGTTTCGGTGGGTGTTGGAGCATAAGAATTGGTTGTTTCTAAGGTTGGGGCCTTGAAATTGTCAGCATAGTACTTGGGAGCAATATAAGAAGTAATAGAAACCTCTGTCTCTGTTGTGGATTCGTCTTGGCCAAGAAGCGCGTGTATTTCGGCTTCGTCAATGCCTTTGGACTTCAAGAACTCGACCTTCTTCTCATGAGGCGCGTGTCGCACAGCGTCATTCTCGAGAAAGCGTCTCGCAACCTCGAGTCTTTCTGGATCGTCTGTCGCATTTTCCGGCTGCGACGTCTCTTCTGCTGTTGTTTCTACCGCTGACCCATCAACTTCTGACGTTGAGCTGCTCGCGGACGGTGTCGGGGCCGGTTCGGTGTTTTGGCTATCGGTCTCGTCGGATTGCGCCTTCTGCCAGCTTGGGATGGCGGGATTGGAATCTGAGTCGCTCATGTTTGATAGTGTCACGCGACTGTTTACAATGCTGGAAGATTAACGGAAACGTTGAAATAGAGGATGGAAGGGAAATGTTTGTGGTTTCCGAGGTGTAGGCAAGGTTCGGCGAGGTAGGCACATGCCTCGGTACTCCTGCCGATAACGGTGGAGTCTACCTTAGGCTGCTTCATGAGTCCGGGGTTTCTTGTGGGGAGGAAACAGTATCTGATTGTGTAGACACCTTATGTAAGTACGATATTGGAGTACATACCGCCATCAAGCCATGGTATTCAATTAGAAAATATGCCTTTACTTGCAAAATTTACTCGCAAGGCCTTCCTTATATTGAAGAGCCCAAGAAACACATGTTAATACGCGTTGATGCCGTCGAGCAAGCCAGACTTGCAGTATACGTTACGGTAGCCACTCCGTTTAATACTGGAGCCGTTACTGGAAATAGAACGGGATCGTACTAAACGGTAGCACGGCCAGAACGCGCATTCACCTGAGAACATCAATTCCAGACAATATCTCAAGTGAACGATCGCCTGTACCATCAAGGAACCTCGGTGAACGCCTAGACTCCTCAACAATTACAAATCCCATCCGCACTACCCTTTCACATTCTACTCAAGACACCGGAATCGCGCCATCAAGTTCTTGCGCCAAAAAGATTCAGCGCCATCATCTCCTATCAGCCAATCTCATCGCGGCAGGCAATTCTACCGCCAGAAGCAGGACGCAGCAACAACGTGTAACGGCGCTCGTCTCACGAGCCTCGTACTGCATCGTCTGTCGGTCCCAACAAGTTAAGCAACTTGTGTGCTTGTGCCCTGGGAATAGCGATTGCGCTTGAGTCTCCAGCTCTTGGCTCAGTCAGACCCTGTTCGGGGTGAAGCGTTTGGAAGCGGCTAAAACCCAATTACCAACTGCTGGCCGTCTAAAGGGCAAGGAAGCAGGCAAGTGAAAGTTAATCGGTGACAAAGCTGGTGTGGTGTGACCAATACCAAGGCATTCAAAATTTGTAACAGGTGAGTTGTGAATTTTCCTCTTGGTTGTCTCTCCCTTTGTTTGGTCGCAGCAAAACAACACCAATTCCGTCAACCCAGTCCCGTCCGTCTCTGTAATCCTTTCCGCGGCTGTCGCCAAATTCTCTCAATGCAACCGACGATGATAAGCTTCTCTCCTAAGCTATTCTGTATTAGCCTTTGATATCGGCAGTTTGTCTGGGCTATCACAGGATTAGGATATTCCTGGACTGGCCTGGCCGATGATCCTCAGCCATGTGCAGGATCCCGCTTATAGGAATCCCTGATTCAGCGGTAATCGCAGACGAGAGGTCTCACGTAGTTAGGTAGTCAGTCCTTGGTTGGTCGATTGATTGATTGATTGGCTTGACTGGTTGCAGGACAAATTGCATTAGTTGGCCGTTTATCTTCAGCCTCGCATCCTTCAAGCTTCAAGCTCAAGTCGTCTTTTCACCAATGAAGAGTCACCGACACTACCTACACTACAAAAGTCCAGACTCCAGCCTATCCTGTCCTATCCTATCTCGCCAACGGCAATCGCCACCAACATCCGAGCTGTACTTGCCCTGTCCTGCCTCTGGCCCTGCCTGTTCCTTCCAGCCAATCCCTTGTTAGGTGGCTCTTGGCTCCTGCTCCTGCTCCTGCTGTCTCACTCCAGTCGTGCTTGCCCCAACGAATTGAGCTTATTTCAGCCTTGTCAACACCAAAAACTGCAAACTTGTCTTCCAATCACTTTCCTCTTCTGTCATCCAACTCATTTAACTTCACATATTTAAGTTTTCGCGATCTTCCCTGGGACCCCAGAACTCCTTGAACTCTATCCTGATACAAATACAACCCACCCTTCACTTCGCATGCCACTAATTATTTCCCACTTTCCTTATCTTGTTTCTACCATCCACCCCAGGCCCCGCCAGTGCGGGCATCTATCATCATGGGTTCGCGTCCACGTCGCTCAGCGGCCACTAAGGCCAATGAAGTCATCTCTGTTCATGCCAGATGGGCTGACTCTCCAGAAAGAAGCGAAAGAAGCATGTCGTCACGACGATCTGGTCGCGCCTCAGGCGTGTCCGTCTCCCGAGATGATGCCTCATCACCAGGTGGCGATCGTCATTTGAGTTTGACTGTCAAACTTCCTTCCAACAAACTACGACAGGCTACACGCGGGGAGCGTGGCTTTGAAGGTGGAGAAATCGTATCCGGAAAGCGGAATCGAGGAGCTAAGAAAAGTTATGTGGTTGACTCAAGCCCCGACGAAGATGAAGAGGAGGAAGAGGAGGCAGAGATTGAGGTGGAGGAAGATGATGACGATGAGATGGATGTTGATGCTGAGGGTGAGGAGGATGCTGAGGGGGACATCGATATGGATCTAGCTCCCCCGACCATCACTGTTTCCAAACCAGCCCGGTCCAAGCCAGCACCTCGAGCATCGGCTGCCAAGGTCATTCAGGATGATGATGACGACGACGAGCTTAGTGACCCCGCTGATAGCGACGCTGGAGACGAGACTATGGGTTTTGGTGATGAGACCATGGCTGACGATGGTGACGAGGATGCTGAAGGCGAGGAGATCGAGGTCGCAGGCCAAGAAGGAGATGAGGATGACGAAGACGAAGAAGATGAGGAAGAAGATGATGAAGGCGACGGAGGCGACGACGACGACGATGATGACGAAGATGGTAACCCAGACGAGTCTGTCGATCTCACCAAAATGACAAAGCGGCAACGAGCTCGATTTGAAGATGACAACGCGCATCAGTACATGAAGCTGTCAGATGGTGAGTCTAATACTTATGCTTACACTTGCAATACTAATACATGTTCGCAGAGGTACAAGCGAAGAAGGTTTTTACAGCTGAGGAATTGTCCATGCGTCGACAGGAGATGGCCCGGCGGCGCCGCAACTTGAGTGAAAAGCGAAATGAGGAAGTAAAGGTAAGCTTAGAATTGAATTAAACAGAAGGTGTGTGCTGACCCCAGATTACAGATGGAAACGATCAACAAACTCCTTAAAAAGCAAGCTCCCAAGATCAACCGCAAGGCTGCAGCTGCTGGCGCCGGCGGTTCAGAAGATTCGAACAAGCCTGATCCTGTCTTCGTTCGGTGGGTCAGCAACAAAAATGGCGTTCGAGTGGCAGTGACAGAAGAGATGCTTGACAGCCCGGCCGGCCAGCTTTTTAAGCCTGCATCTAAACAGGCACCGGGTAAGATGGTCCAGGAAGTTGCTTAAGGAGGCGTCATCGTGTGTTTATTGAATACCGACTCCTGGTAGTTCAATGCATTTCGAGCACCCAGGCAGATCATAATTCAGTTGGTTTATCTGAAATATCGAAACGTGAATTTCAAGAAGAATTCAAAGGGAATCTTTAAGTGGTTTTTTATTTGTCTTGGCCGTACGGATACACATAGATAATATTACTTGGCTTTGGGCCACTCATCCAACCCCACTAACATTCCTGCAACCACTCTATATAAATTGATCCAACACGTAATGGATATGCAAGCTCTTCTCGACGTGCGCCGATGACGGCCGTGGGCAGGCAGTGGGGGCTGACCTATAGTTTCCTTGTGAATGCCATCTCTAAGCGTGCCAGCCGCTGACACTGTACCACAGAACCGCAACGCACAGTCCCGTAAACTCGTGGTGATTCGAATAAACGATTACCTGAAGTTGTTTCGTCGGTTAGAGAAGATATCCTGTGCTTAAGGGCTCACTTTACGGAGACTTGTACTGTCTTTGCCGCGTTTGCAATGTCGCCGTTCGACAATGATATGCAGACAAGACTACAGGTAGCAACGATTTGGCATGCGAAACCCTCAGCAACTCGGGCCCACTTCCTAGAAGCTAGGACCATCTCGAACAGCTCTATTGAGCGAAGGAACAATAGCTCAAAACGTTGCCGTTAGCCGACAATATCAAAGGGCGGACCGATAGCTGAGGGCAGTGTAAGTGCCGATACAATGAGGAGCAACTCAACGCCATTGAGTCGAGATACCTGCAAAATGTTTTATCGATTGACAAGGCCGAGATGAATGATCTTTGATTATGAGGTGAAAGGGGGTAGATTTGGTCATTGTGTTTTGACATGTAGTGATATCTCGTAGTATAAAACCTCGTATGCCCAAAATTCAACAACACCAAAGTCACCAACTTCCGATACTCAGCCAACAGCAGTAGCACGATGTCTTAACATCAAGGAAAGTACGGCGCTCCACAAGTAACTATCTCAGCGGCTTAGAGAGCGCCTAGAAACGCCTGCAAGTGTTGACAGCTGCCAGGCTGGCCAAACGCCATCATGTCGGTCCTTGACAGCCCTTGACGGCCGTTTGCACTGCCAACTCCACCACCTCTATTCGAACATGCAAGCACTTTAGTAGCGCCAAGGCTCGGACTCGAATATATAGAAATGTTTTCACCTCCAACTTGCTCTCCTCCTCTTCTTTCTCTCCTCACCATCGTCAGATTTCATGCACACAGCTTCAGCTTCGCAGCATCTTCCAACAATCTGATATCAGATTCATTTCTACGCTCTTCGCTTTCGTCTATCGAACCTGGTTTCTTCTCGTGAGAATACACAGAGTTGAGAGACTTTGAGCGTCGTGGAGATTCAACCAGCTCTCTTTGCGGCAACTCCATCGTCTCTACTCTTTACATACCACTTCATTCATCGGGATATCCCCCTCGTCCTACACAATTCTCAAGTCTTTTCTGCTTAGCAGTCTTGATTCTTTCATCTCAGCTTCAGCTTTCAGCCATTTCACAATTGTCGACTCTGCTCCAAGATCGCTCAAAGCACCTTTACAACCAGCAGCATTCTCGAGATATACTTCTCCATCTTGAAGCAGCGACTTTCATCATGTCTTCTCGTCAACCCAACATGGCCAATATGGCCCAGAGAAATACCCAGCAGGGAGCTGCTCGCCAGGTAAGTTATCATCTCTCCGCATATGATACGCATGCGCACACGAAATGAGATGAAAAGCGACTAACACTTTTCGCAGCAGCAGAACCAGCCTTTCATGGCACAGGACGGAAATGCATTCCAGTTCAACAACCTTCAGCAGCAGCAGCAGTTTGCTCAGTTCATGGCAAGCTTGCACTCATTCAATTCCCCTCTAAGAATTTCATATCTAACATTGCTTTTGTAGCAGAATCAGAATGGCCTCGGCCAGATGCAGCAGAACCAGAACCAGAACCAGATGACTGGTGGTTTCACTTCTCCTTTTGATAATACAAACAACAACACCAACTCCGACAGTCCCATGGTGGTTGGGTCTCATCACTTTAACCCTCAGCGGGTCCAAAACTCCTCTTCTACTCCCAACATGGCCTCGGGCAACCCCAGCTTTGAGAGCTTCACTCAGTCTCAGACCCCCTTCATGTTCACCAGCCAGAACCAATTCCTTGGCAACATGCAAGACTCGGTCATTGGTAATGCTCAGATGCCTTTCATGAATGACCTGAGCATGCAGCCTCCTTTCTTTCCTACTCCTCCCATGGGAAATGTTCAGGCTCCCTTCATGAGCGACACCCAAGCTTCTGCCATGAACGACTCTCAGAGTTTCGTTCAGCAGATGTCTGGTCTTCGCGCCACTGCGCCCTCCTTCACTCCCGCTCAGAACAGCCCTGTGCCTCAGCAGAGTGCCGTCTCTATGGCCAACATGCAATCCAACATGACTCCTCAAATGCACGCGCACATGCAGCAGATGGAGATGCGCATCAATCAGCAACAAGCCATCATCAACAGCATGATGAGGCGACAGTCTGGGTCCTCTGCCCAGTCCAACCCCCAACACGGACCAGCCCTTCAGATGCAGCCAATCCTTCAGACACAGCAGCGAATGCAGCAGCGAAACCAAACTCCTACCACTCAGGTTCCTAGCCCTCGTGCTTCTACTCCTGGAACACCTGCTGCTCAAGCTTCTGCTACTCAGCCTCTTCCTGTGCCATCCTCCGTTACTCAGGATCCTATTGCACAGTTGCTTTCTGTTCAATCTCCTATCGAACAGAACTCTACAAACGAGCCTGTTGCGGCCCAGTCTCCTACTGCTGTGTCTCCAACTACTGAGTCCTCTGGTTCTCAGGGTGGCAACACCATGCAGACTGCTCCGGCCCTGAGTGCCAACCCAAACTCCATGACTGAGCGAGGTTCTCATGTGACTCAGAGGGACAGCTCCTTGACTCAAGTCTCAAGGGTGATGAACACTAACCTCGCAATGAACCCTCGTACACGTCTTCTTCCCCAGGATGTCAGACCTCATGCCCCTCCTCCTCCTCAACACAAACTCGAAGAATTCCTTATTGATGGATCTCTCAAGGTCGTCATCCCAAACTTATTTGATGATCAGCCACCAACTGCCCAAACTTCTCCTATCCAAGACTCTTCAGCAGAGGAGCCTTCTACCCCGGCTTCTTCAAATGGCTTTTCATCTTTCGAGGATTGGTCCAAGGCGCCTGTCTATGCTCCTGGTCTCTTTGCTCCTCGGCGCTCTGATGGACCCGAGAAGCTAACTCCAAAGGAAAAGAAGCTTCGCGAGGCCGAGGACAACGGCGAGCAAATCTTTCCCAGCAAACGCCGCGTCGTCCGCATCGACCCTGAAGACCCCCGATTGATTCGCGATGAAAACGGTTTGCCTATCACACCCCAAGGTGATGGCTACAACAGTAAGTTTTGATCCTCGCTTCATTGTTCCTGGTCTCGCTATTATTGTGAATCACCAATACTGACCATGTTTGATAGTCTACTACCTCCCCGGACCCAAGAAATTAGACGCTGCAGAGCTCAATAGAATGCTGATAGAGATTCGAACGGAGAAGAAGACTGCCATGGATGAAGCTGCTAAGACTGGCGAGCCGATCCAGAACTCAAAGTCTACAAAGAGGACCAGGAAATCCAAGGCTACGAGGCAGACTAGAGTTCTCAAAACCCCATCCGAGAACATCGTCAACAAGAAGCGACGCAAGAGTACTACTACTGCTACTACTACTATTTCTACTACTAACGTCGCTGGCGATGCTCAACTTGCCACTACTCTCGGCGCTCAGCTCTCTCTGAACAACGGTCCTATCGCTCAAGCTTCCAACGACCCCTTCACTATCCAGAGTAACACTGCCCTCCCTGCACGATTTGCTGGCGGCGACGCTTTCAATCGGCAACCTTCGATGAGCTTATCCCCTCCCCAAGTTATCCTTGACAGTGACTTCACCCAGTCATTCACTGCTGGCATCACTCAACCACCTACCACTGGCGGTGACTTAACTCTTCAACTCGCTCAAGAGAGCAGCTTCACTTCTCAAACCACCAACGAACAACCCACGGCCAACCTCCTTGGCAACGACTTCGCTTCCCAACCTTTCAACCCCTCGGACGATAGCGTCCTCCAGCCCACTGAGGACTTTACCAACACCAACGATCACAGCTTTGAGATTCCTGCTGACCTCGATCCCATGTTTGTTGACACCAGAAATACCCCTTACGAGGACTTGCCTCTCGATACTGAGCCTTTTGCTCAATTCTCCTCCACGCAATCTGGCTCTTCCCAGTCCCCATCGACTCCCGTCTCTGATTCTGGCGCTGCCAAAACCCTTGATCACGATCTTTCTGCTGTTGCCGCATGGCTTGTTGGCCATTCTGAGGATGCTTCTGCTGTCACCTCTCAAGACCAGCTGGCTCAGATCGAAGTCAATGCTTCTATGCCCCATATTGTTGACCCCTCCCTGTCTGTCCCCGTTCTGGACATTTTCAAGACTTGTCAACCTGATCTGTCCCTCAGAGACAAGGACACTTTGTCTGAGCCATGTGACGAGATCTCCATGTTTCCCCGAGACGATGAACAAGGCACCCAGCTGCGCAGAGTCTCCAACGAGCTCGATCGACCTCTCCCAGAGCAGGCTGACATTGCAGTTTTTGTTGCTGATATCCCCAACCCATACAATCGAGACTTGGACGCTGAGCGCGCTGGCCTCATTGAGCGGTTCCGAGCTGGTGGTGAGTTGAACTACACTGATCGCAGTGTTCTTATGCTGATTGCGGGAATAGACTCTTCTATCGACGTCGATGCCGTGAACAGGCAGACCGCGGGAGTGACCGAAGGCATGTCCCCAGCTGATATTCCGGCCTTTTTGGACGACGTCCCTCTGGATATCTTTGCCAGTCTTGAAGACCTCCCTGAAAACAACCTTCAGGACCCCAGCGCTACTACTGGCAACAACAACACTATGTTCCCTGTTGCTGGCTGTTCAGACTTCAACTCTTCTAACGCTACTGGACCTGCCTCAACCTGGCCTCCTGCCGCACCTAATGTGAGCCTTGTAGATATGCCGTATTCTCCCGCTGTGGCATCTCAAGAGACTCAAGATGCCCCTTTCCAGCCTCCCCAGGGCCCCGAGTTCCACCCCCAAGACCCTTACAACAACCTGTTTGGTGATGTGGGCAATGTCTTCAACCCCGACTAGCAGTCCCAGGGCCAAGACAACACCACTAATGGAGCCTCAGAGGGAGTATTCCTGAACCCTGCCGTATTGAACCAGACAACCACCACTACTCTACCTACTTCCACAACCACAACCAACACCGCCAAGACTGGCAACAACAAGCGCAAGGCGGGTGAGGATGCCAGTGCCGCGCCCAAGAAGAAGGCTCGCACCAAGAAGGCCCTTGTACCGCAACTCGCGTTGCCCCAGTGCGAGGTTCGCTTTGGTCCTGGCGCGCAGCAGTAAAGTACGAGTCATGAGAGGAGAGCGAGAATGATGAGAATGATGTTGCTTGCGGTGGATATGAAGGATGAAGAATGAAGAATGAATAGATGATCAGCTAGGGGCAGAGCCCAATGATGAAGAAGGATGTTTGGTTCATGGTTTGGATGGTGGTTTTTTTGAGACATAGAAAATTATAAAATACAAAAAAATGAACATAAAATAAAAAGCCCCTAGCTCTCATTGACTCTTGACATCGTGATATGTTATGATCTCTCGCAGTGAAGCCCTTTGCAGCTTGGTTGGTGGCGTGCTAAGTATGGTGTTTTGATGAGCACTCTCGGCCCACCAATCTCTTGAGAAGCAGAACATCTGTTACTACATTGCTTATCCATACCATGCTCCTTTATGTACCTATGGGTATGGCAGGCTCTTGCATGTATTTCAATATCTCAATTTGCAACCGATGTCAGGCCAGCGATCAATAGTGTTTGTGTTGTTGTTACTGAGAGGCCACATGCAGGTTCCCAAGGCTTTCAGACGTTTTGGAAACAGATTGATTGATACAATGGAAAGTATTTACAAAGATGTATTATCAAAGCCGGGAACAGACATAGACAGTGAATGGCCCATGGTTGTTGGTTGATAGTTAGCAACCGCGATAGGCGACTATTTAAATGGTAATGGTCTGACATTGCATTTACCTGCATATCATTTTAACGGCGTCTACGTCACTTAAACTTACCTTACATGGAGGTAACCGGGGCATGAAGTTTAAAGTTGAGTGAGAAACGGTGAGCGAGACATGAGAGTTTAAGTGGAAATGAGGAGATGGAGATACAGATTGCCGCGATAATATTTGTTATTCTCGAGTTTCTTGTTTTCTCGAGCAATATCTGTATAGGTAGTGTGATTATTGATATCTGATGTGTAAGGTAGGTAGGCAGGTGACTGTCATGATGAGTCCACGTGCATCAACAGTCCAGGGCATCGAGTGTCAAGTTGGGCGGCTGACTCTTGTCAACCAATGAGAAAGATCAATTGACCGCTCCAGCTTTTCCAACTTCAGGCCTGATTGCCCCGTGGCTGGTGATTCCTCATCCCCCGCTACTCCCCAGTTGTAGCCTGAAAGTTTGTCTCCATTTACTGGGTTAGGTTGAGCTGTAAGCGAATATGCATCGATCGCGAAAAGGGGAGTTTATCCAGAGTCACACGACATTTGGTCCACTGTCTCTTCTTCACATGCAAGAGAGCAAGACAAAAATAATACGAAAATGGCCAAAGGTGATGGATGGATGCATCGTTTACCCGTCGGAAACAAGCGCGAACCGAACCCTCCCGTTTATTTTAGGTATCAATAAATTTCTGTACGTTCCCGTGTTTGGACAAGGATTATTAGATCCCACCTCTAGCCAAAGAGGACTCTTCCAATTGCAACCCAAGCAAGTCAGTCCAGTGGGGAATCGGGCTGTCGCACAGGCTCACTCACAGGCTCTGGCGCTGAATTTTAGGGGGCCGGGAAGCTCAGGGTCTAGGGTGACCACGCGCGGAACCTCAGGTTTGCCGTCAAAATTTGTCGCACAAACCTCACTCAGTCACTGCACGCACACTCGAGCAGAAGCTGCTGCTACCGCCAACCACCATCATTGTTTTCTCTCCCACATTCCGGGTGCACGTTACGTCTGTGCCTCGGAAATATCATAACCTGACATTTGACTTGTGTGCGGTATTTCTTGGCTGCTGCAACGAGAAGCACTCGACTAGACCAGACCACCCGTAAACTGGTCCAGAACGAAAACCAGAACCAGAACCAGAGCCGGTAGCAGAACCTTGAGGCCCCCAAAAGCCAAAAACTCTGTCAATCGTTCCAGTTCTGGACTGGGACCCCTGCAGAACCCTTCAATACAGAGACAGCGACTGAGACTTTCCTTCTTCAGCCTTCCTTTCCTCTTCAGTCATGTCGCCTTCTCCGCTTAAAACGCCTGGCTCTGGCTCTGGGGCTGGCGCTGGCGCTGGTAGTGAACAAGCATCTTGCGTCGGCTCCGACCGTCATCAGTCGTCTACAACTGCAGCACCTACAGAATCATCGAATGTCGATATCGGCAGTGGTAAGTTGATCACTTTCTTTGTCTATCTACTGTATTCTCTTCTGTTCTGTTCTCGGCCAACACCGTCTGCTATTCTCGGTCAGCACACAAACTCAAAACCTAACCCAATTTGCCTACCTAAACCAAGCCTTACCCCATCTTTTCACTCGTTTCGCTCGCTCGTCCGTCCATGCAAGGGTCACGGCTGCACGCACACGAGTGATCACCGCTAGATTGAATTGCCCAGAGCCTGGAGATGCAGGGACTAGGACCTCCAAAGTATCCAAGCTTTTGATGCATCAGACAACCTAGTCCTTGATTTGATTTCGGAATCTGGGTTGTTAGACATTCGCTCGAGTTGTTCAGACAACTACAAGTCTAATTCTTCTTGTCGCTTCTTCACTCTGCCTATTTATCTCCGCCTCTTCATCTGTCTCACGTTAATTACTGCCAATTCCTTTCCTGTCTTGTCTTGCCTTGCCTTGTCTTGTCTCGTCTCGCATTGCATTACATCGCAAATCCACTCCACGCTACCACTGCGGCTCTAGTTTCTGGGGATCCGCTGCCGATCATGTCCCGGTGAGCCAAGCAAGTCTTTTGCCTCCCTCTCTCCTGTTACAGCTCGTCAATTGGGCCTTGGCTTGCTTTTTTTCCAACCTTGGCTTCGATCATAAGTTGCAGTGCCTTGGCTCTTCAACTCCCTGTTCCCCGCGTTACATGCCTCTCCCTAAGCGACAACACATCGTCATATAAGGAGACACATCCTCTTCAATCGGACAAGGAGCCGCAGCGTGTCAGTCGCATCGAGAACGACTCGGAGCATCGCTAGTACTCAAAAATGACCCATGCGAGCCCTGTCAATAGCGCTTTACCTTAACCTGATCTTCCAACGCCACCTCCGCTTAAACGATACCACCGCCTGCTTCCATATAAACCATCCCCTTTGGCCCCCCCGAACCGTGCTGTACCACGTACACACACACACACACATCCCTTCAGAATTGTTGGCTGCTGCTTCTTTCGCCTTTGCTAAACTTTGTCTTCTCAAACTTTGCATTTTGCCTGTTAAGGAGGATCGTCTAATAACATAATCCAGCCGCAAAGACAAGTGATCCAAATCAAATACAAGAACACGAACATAGTCGACGACAATCGCCAACTCGAGATATCACATCATCCTCCCCAACCAACGTCCACCCTCTACTTCAGGTCGCATCCGCTCCCCCGCATTCTCGCTCGACAATTGCCGCCACCGATACTACACCCGCTACCACAACTCCAATTACTGAGTCACCTGCATTGCCATTGGGCTCTTCAAAGCAATCGCCAACAAACACCGCTCAACTTGCCTCAAGGGCCACCGAAGCCCGGGCAAGCACTTCTTCAAACATGATATTCTCGGATATTTACAAGAGCCCGCGATCACCCATCGCTAAGCTCCGTCACCACTCGGTCCAGTTACCGACACCGCTGCCAACCAATACACCAGATTGGTACGGCGAGGAACACGCAGACCTTCTCAGCAAGGACAAGGTGAAGCAGAAGGAAGCTGTGAAGAGGTATCTCGACGTCAAAGTCAAGAACGATTGGGAGTTCCCATGGCCTTCTCGCGTTGTCGAGCCCCCACTACTTGAGGGTGACATCGCTGTTGTCGACACTGCATCTGAAACACCTGATGCAATTGAGGCTGTCACCAGTCTCGATGTCACAGAACCGACAAAGTCAATTCAAGATGAGACGCACGAGGATGATGGCTACCAAGTCGATGACCCCGAGTCATCAGATAACGAAGACGGCAGCGATGCCGAGTCCACCTACAGTACTGTCTCTGAAGATTTAGTCAACTTTCGCACACGTCTAGACTGGGCCTCAGATCTTTCTGATGATGAGGATGAGCCTGGCCCTTCGCGATCACCTTTCCGCTTTGACAACCCCAACAATGTGGGCTCCACTGTCCAAGCTGTGGTCCAGGGCAAGCGCGCCAGGCGAAGGAGAGCAGTTCGCAAGGAAATGGAATGGAACGAAGGACTCGCCTGTTTCGAAGCGCGGCGAAATGCATGGACGGGCGCACGAACTGTTCGCGTTCGGGCCAAGCCTGCAACGCCCCCTGCTGTGTCACCACTATCTCCCCGTCGATTCTTCTTCCGTCGCTCCATGTCAACATCTCCTCCTGCCTCGACAATCGCGTCTACTTTACCGCCGCAAGTCAGTGATGCGTCAGACAATTCGTCACTCGCGAGAAGCGACGAGCTTCGCAATGCTCGATCTAAAGACACCACGCCGTCGACACCTCCCGACAGCCGAAATTATCCTGTTGAGGTCCTGCTTCCTCTCCCCCCGCCTCTCCTACCTCCCAATAACCCTCTGCGTGCATCCATCACACCTTCTGTCTATCTCAGTCTCTACGACAAGGTCATCATTCACAGCCTTCAGCCCTCGTGCCCTATTAATTTGTCCGATATGCTTCGAGCTTGCGTTACTGGCTGGAAGCGAGATGGCGAGTGGCCTCCACGACCGACAATGGCTCCCGCTCCTGTCGCCAAGAAGAAGAAACCCAAGAAGCCCTCAAACCCCTCAGAGAACGCGGGCAGTACTGTACGCCGCATGAGCTTTGGTCTGCTGGGTCGTGACAAGGACGATTCGACAAGTGGCAAGGGCATTCGCCGCAGCCTTGTTAGAGCTCTCGGCATTGGAGAAGGGACAGAGACCCCTAAATGAGGCCATCTCGTTACGAATTCATGATTATGATTAAAACCCGGAGGATTATCATTGCGGTTGATGCATGGCGCTTATATATGGGCTCTCGCTTTCTGGCTTGGTATACCATGTAGGGAAGGAAATGTGTTATGTATTCTGGTCTAGTTCTCTTTATTTTATGTTTTCTGCCATGACCTGGTCATGCTGGTATAGGGAGTTTCGGGGCATGGGTCTGTCTCCATATTGGAGTCTCTTGGAGCAGCTGAGAGGAAGCATGCATTTTGATACGTCTTGATCCCAGCATTGCGGCCATGCTAATTTACTTTGCTATAACTGTATTCTTTAACTTGGCATTGCTTTTTCCCTGTTGCTCACTGAGCCTAGTGACAGTGTCATTATCTTGGTGCTGTCGTGATGCAATAGACTGTGATAGTTTAGGGTTGACGCCATAGTTCGTTGGAAGAGTGTCACATGCCGTCAGCAGAATTGAGTTTCGATTGTCTTGACAGAGTTTCAATGGCATCTCTGTAGACTGTCACTGTAAGACCTAACATGACGGCTCGTTCCGTATGTGTCATGTGAGTTGCGCACCCTGTCGATCACGCATCATCGGGGCAGCTGCATATTGACTTTGGAGTGTTGAGAAGTCTTTGGCAGATTGAGATTGTTCCTATGAGTCTAGTTCTGCAAAGCACATTTAGCAAGAGGCCAGCGGAAGCTGAAAACACTGATTTGATGGGCTGGTATTGTTCGACTGTACTGAACTGAAACTTGAATATCAAAACTTGATCTTTTGATGGTAGGGTCAGAGGCTGATAAAGAGTAGGTCGTCTCTGGACTTGGGTAGAATTGCACAAGGTCTGAGTAGGTTGATATATTCCTTATGGCCACTCTAGTTCGTCCAGTTTGGCCCAGTTATGAATATATCGAAAGAGTATTAACGTGCTTGGCAACTCCAAGCCTATCCAAGGATAAAATGTTGGAAGGATAGTAGCGTTTAGTCTTTGTCGAAGCCCGGAATGGGATTGGTTTACACAAAGAAACATTATTGGTGAGTATCTATGTCAAAGAATAGCAACAAGCGAGACTCGTGTCTGGGGAAGAGTAAACTTCTCGGCGGGAGCATAGATGTGAAAAGACATCCCAACATTACTCTCCTAATTCTGTCACTGAATGGTATGAGCATGCTGAGAGAGTTACACAGAAGATGTCTCGCTGTATTTGATGTCTGATTGGCAACAACATTTCTTTCGATGACCATGCCTATCATTCTCTTTGACTATCCCAAGAGTGATATTGCTGGGTCTTGACCTTACTAGTATGTACTCAGCCCCTTTGATAAGATAGCGCTGTGATACAGGTGTTCAGCTCGAATGTGAAGAGTATTTCAACGGAGAGTCTGCATCTTTCAGGTTTCGGCTTTCTTCAGCACTTCCTTGCTTCTTTGCCAAATCATATGTATTTCAAGCCCAAGTACATGCACTCCAGGTTTCAGTGACCGCCTTCCATGAAGTATTTCATCTCTGCCTCGAAAGACACTTGAATTTGACTCAAGACTACCTAAAGTTTTGAAAATAACGTCAAGGTTAACATCAGCACCACGAAGTTTGACGGATTACAACCGTATTAGGATGTACATCTTATGGTCCAGAGATTATCCAGCAGTGTCTGATAATGATTATTAGGTAACTATATCTCTATTTGCACCATGTGCAAGCTGGTTAACCTAGACCGTTCGGGCACTCCATCATAGCCCTAACCGTAAATCTTCACATAGCTCCCGCATCAGAAGTCCTGAGAGTAAGTATCAAAGAATCAGGAGCTCGCGACTGTTTCAGTTTAGTCCTTACTCGTATGAACTTGCTTGTGATTGTGCATACCTATATTGCTGATGACCTCTGGGCCTGACACAAGTCATAATGATCCGGACATGTCACAACAACTGGCGTGCTTCTCTGGCAGTGTATAGAATGACATCGTGTTTCCTTCTCTATTTTATACTGTATGCTAAGCGTATTATGGCACGTTGAGCTCAACATACTTTGTTGAGCTTTATTGCATTGGTCGAACTCACTGCTTGTGACGACACTTGGCAAATTTCCAGTTGATGCTAATAAAACTCAAATGCCATCGTACGAGATAGGGACTGTTGAATATTGTAAGTCTCCAAGTGTCTTGTTCAGGCTGCACAAATCAGATAAGTTTGGTGATAGTGGACTAGCATGATTTCTTGGGATGAAATAAACAAAGCAACATGCACTTGTTTATTGAGAACTCCCAGAGGAAAAGCCAAGGGAGTCTATAAGGCACATGATAAGTGTTGGTTCTGGTTCTGCACCCACATCCTGACTGTATCCTCAATATAGATGGAATGGCCCCCGTCGTGGCTCGCCGGTCAAGTATATCTTGTACAATGCCTTGTTGGACCATCCGGGACAGGATCTTATCATGCCGGTCTCCAGTATCCCCTCGAAGTTAATTATCTTGCTTGAAACATTTGAACAAGAGACCTCCATAAGTAGCTGATATCTATCATTGGCTCTAGAGTCTATCCTTGGACAGTAAATCATCTGGCTTTTCAAGATCTCAGGAACAAAGACCTCGTCATGATAACCGCCATGCCACATCACTTAGTTTACAGCATGCGAGATTAGTTAGTGAGTGCAACCTAGAGCTTGCATTATCCTTTTCTCTCTTGTTCTCGAAGTTTGAACTGAAGATGATCGATATAAGCTATTAATCTGTCTCGCAATTGCCTTCTCATGAAAAGGCTTATATCAGCAAAATTTGAAATAGTTGAATATTAAAAGTTTAACTCATGTAAATTATAGGCGAGCAAGGTTGAATCTGAGCGTGAGTGTAGTTCAAGAGGTGATGATTAGTGCGCCATCACAGGACCTAGCTCTGAAGACCGCAGGCGTCCAGAATCTGGATAAATGAATGCCCTTTTGACTCGTAGTGGCTATTGCTTCCAGATTGTTACCCCCGCTCATGACATCCTTGTCTCAATCGTTACAGTGCTACAACCTTCACCCATCATGACAGGGCATTGGAGGGTGCTCACATCGGAAGCGCCTGATTAGAACTACAGACTGGTTCAAAAGCAAGAAACTGAAACTCATTATTATACCAGAAGACCATAATTGATGATATCTTCTCGAAGCGTTGTGCCCCATACGTGTCCTTTCTCACCTCCTACGGATGGCACTTTGGAGAAGTATCATCAAACGCTATAGCAAGTCCTCAGTTAAGGATGGGCAAATAGAGAAGCAAGAGCTAATGCGGCTAAGATGCATTCACAAACAATGGTGACTTGTGCTTGGATTGGGTAAAATTCCCACCTCCTCATGAGATGTCCATGTGTAGCAACCACTGGAGGATCATGACAGTTGACATCGGACGTAAAAGACTGAAGTACCAACCGACGAGCTTCAGGCTTAGAACCCAATCCAATACACCGAAGCTAGTTACTGGTTTCAGCACTGGATTTGAGCCTCCCCTACCTTTAATCTCCACCTCATGATGTAGGGTTAGGACCCCCTGTGAGAAGTGTGAATCGGTGTATACAGCAATAAGGGTAATGATACTCCCGAGTGAACTACATTCTTTCCTAGCAATATTTGAGGAATCAATTTCGGTGGGCTACAAAAACCGCAACTCACCTTTTCGATGAAATTTACGGAGTAGTTGTCATGAGCGACATGATGCGGGACCAAGACACCATCAGTTGTTCATCGGAAGAGGTAGGCTGCCACATGGCAGGACTCCAGGCAACTTAATCAATCAAGCGAAAGAATACGGAGCCTCAGCAGAGAATGTCTCTTCCCTTGAAACAAGGAGGCCTTTTCGTTTGGTATGACTGTCAACGACTATGCGCCAATTAGCAATTGAGTTTAGACAAGTCCCATGTCCATGGCGCATTATTAAGCATAATAGTTCCACCATCAGGCGGTTGGAAAGTCATGTTGACTTATACATATAGCCATATGGGACCGGATCGGTATTGTAACTAGATTGGCAGCTTGTGTTGGGGCTGAAGCCTGCCGCACTGCGAATGACCGACTGTGAGGCGTTCAGTATATTCTTTGGGTCACAAGGCTTTCGCCAGACTCCTCCGAGTTTTGTTCTTTCTGGGCTGAAGATAATGAACCCCAACGTGGCATTGAGCTTTCAGTTCTTAATGTGACGCAGAACCAAAAGTGACCGAATCACCTAGGTTGGTGGCATTGATGGCGACCTAATGGTCGTTCAATTTTCTAACGATTTATGCTTCTTTGCCAAGTCTGGGGACTATATCACAATGACCCTTGAATGCTCTCTTGCGTCCCGCTTACCTAGTTCAGTACTCGCTCTGGGATGTCCGGAAAGTGGATGGAACTTCACGAGTGTCCAGATTGATCAGATAAAAAATTTTCCTCTCTTCGCCGATCTCGGGTTGGGGTGTGGACGTAGAAGGTTCCGGCTTTAACCCTGCGCAACTGATGAGGGGCAACTCATCTTATCTGATCATCAGATTAGATACTTGGCGCAAAAAAAGCCGCTAGAAAAAAACTTGGTCTCGCGCCGGCCTGGGCTTGATGGATCAAGCGCAGGGTTAAGGCGATGAAATGGCACAGTAGTACTGACGCGATGAAGTAATGCAAGTGGCCACAAAAGGTGCGTGGATGGCGTAGGAACTGAACAGAAGCTCCGTCAGGACGGAACCATCCCCAGGGTCCCGGTTCTTTGTCGCTCGAGACCGTGCCCTTGGAAACATGGGTGAGGGAAGACACAAGGTTGCAGTTGACCAATTTGACACGAGCGTAGAAGCTCGATCAAGAATCCTGGATGATCAGTCCACCAAACTTCGGACGACTTCGCCAATGGATGACGGCGAGCGATGATGCAACTGGCGATGTCTAGTGTGAGACGGCGTCCATCTGGACACCACCAAAAACTCATAAAAATTGCCGCACCAGTTCGGCCCTGGTACAATTCCGCATTGTTTGGCTCCTTATACACGCACTTGATTCCGTAATTGGCGTCAACCCCATCCAGGAGCATGGGCCTGAACGGAGTACGGCACTGATGGTGGGGCAGGACATCATGGTGGGTTAATACGGACGGAAGTACACGTTGATAGCGTCTGTTTGAGCTTGAGCATGCATATTATTGCAAGGGAGAACCCTTGATCGGCATCCACTGCTGTTTTTTCTCGAGGACTGCTTTCTTTACAGACCTCGTCGTGTTTCTCCGAAGTTCCCAAGTGATTTTTCAGTTCCAAACTTCATCCACACTCATCATGGCGACCGAAGCGACGAATATACCTTCCGCGCCGTCGCGGCAACAACAGAAGCTCTCTGTCCTTGAGGGCCCTGTCGATCCTCCATTGGTTGATTTGACGTTGGGTGAGCTTCTTGAGCTTCAGACATACCAGCATGGCAACCAAGAATGTCTGGTGATTCCCTGGACAGGCGCCCGCTGGACATACAATGAGCTCAGCCAACAAAGCTCATCTCTGGCGCAATCGTTATTGGACATGGGCATTGGAGTTGGCGATCGTGTTGCCATCATGGCAGGTAACTGTGAACAATATGCGGCTGTCTTCTTCGCGGTGGCTAAAATCGGTGCTATCCTTGTCATCCTGAATAACACATACACACCAACTGAAGCGATGTATGGGTTGAAGTTTTCTGACAGCAAGATTTTCTTCACAACGCCAAGAATCGGACGGCTTGACCAGACGCAGCTGCTACAGCAGCTTGAGAATAAGAAGACAGCCCCCATGGTCGTAATGCTGAGAGGAGACGAGTCTGGTAAACACCAGACCTATGACGAATTGGTGAATGCTGGTCGCAGGCGAAACCACCAAAGACTGTATCAAGCCATGACCAAGGTGCTTCCTCATCAAGTGGTCAACCTTCAATTCACAAGCGGAACGACCGGATTGCCCAAAGCTGCGATGCTCACCCACCAGTAAGTGATCCATGAATTCCTCTGAGCAGCGTGTTAGCTTGGTGCGAACTGTCGACTTTTCGAACTCTAAGCTGACGAGTTTATAGCAACCTGGTAAATAATTCACGCTTTATTGGGGATCGCATGCGGCTTGGTCCTGCGGATATTTTGTGCTGCCCTCCACCGCTGTTCCATTGCTTTGGCTTGGTGCTCGGTCTTCTTGCTGTTGTCACTCACGGCGGTAAAATCGTGTATCCGGCGGAGGTTTTCGATATTGACGCAACGCTCAAGGCTATTTCTGATGAACAATGCACTGCCGTTCACGGTGTTCCAGCAATGTTTGATTCGCTCTTTCAGGCAAAGTGGCCCGAGAACTTCAACTGCGACAACCTGCGTACTGGTATCATCGCTGGTGCACCCGTTCCTCGATACCTTATGGAGCTCCTGGTAAACCGTTTCGGAATGACAGAGTTCACCAGCAGTTACGGCTTGACGGAGGCTTCCCCAACGTGCTTCAATGCCTTCACTGACGATTCCATCGATACACGATTGACGACTGTCGGTACTTTGATGCCTCATGCAAAGGCCAAGATTGTGGACCGTGATGGCAACATTGTACCTGTCGGTGAGCGTGGTGAACTCTGCATTGGCGGTTACCAGCTACAGGCTGGTTACTGGAACAACTCAGAGAAGACCAACGAGACTATGATCCGCGACGCTGCTGGCGTCCTCTGGCTGCATACCGGCGATGAAGCTGTTTTTGACGAAAATGGGTACTGTTCGATTACTGGGCGCTTTAAGGATATCATCATCAGAGGTGAGTTAAGAACATCAGTCTTGGCAGTACGGAATGATTGACTGACCCCGCTTCAACAGGTGGAGAGAACATTTACCCGCTTGAAATTGAGGAGCGTCTGATGGATCATCCTGCTATAACACGTGCTATTGTCGTCGGCCTCAAGAATAAGCATTATGGTGAAGTCGTAGGCGCGTTTGTTGAGTTGGCTGAAGGCCACCAAAAGCCCCAATTCGAGGAGATCAAGGACTGGTGTCGCAAGAGGCTTGGTGGTCATAAATCGCCTGCCCACGTCTTCTGGCTGGGTGATGGCGATGTTCCGGCAACGGTCCCTCTGACAGGAAGTGGTAAAGTGCGTAAGTTTGAGATGGCCAAGCTGGGCGATGAGCTTCTCCGAAAGCAGGAAGTAACTGCGAAGCTGTAGTGTGGAGTGGAGTGGACAGGACTGATTGAGTTCAAGCGATGGATTAGATATGCATATTTTGAAGCGTGATGCGATTATTAACTTGAATTTTGGAAGATAAAAGTTTAGAACCGAGAGAAAATTGAGGAAAGGCTATTATAGATACAAATGGAAAGTAGCTGGTCAGACACCCAACACCTGCCGTTTTGTTTCTTGGCAGTCCCTCGTATGCACGCAAAAATCCAACCTTACAAGCTGGAAAGTCACGAGTGAGACACGGCTCTTTCTATCACAAGCATAATTTGAGGATATCTAAAAACCTGTGATCCAAACATGAACTTTTTATTGCTGTCCCGAATATCTCAAACCAGTACCTATCTACCTGCATTTACTATAAATCTATTATGACCCTCATATCCTGTTCGACACTCACAGCTTAGGCACAAGACCAAGCTTTGTACCAGCAACAACCTTCTCATTGTCTGCTAGTGGGCACAGTTGGAAGAAGCGCTCTCGCGACGATCTGACGAAAGCGCTGCGCTGATGTGGCAGATCGACAAGTTTGTCTAGACCCGAGCCATGAACGAAGTCATACATAACAATAGTTGTGTTGGTCTCCTGAGACTCCCCAACAACATACATAGTGCGCGGATCATCGAGATAGAGGTAGTGCATCAAGCTGCTCCACCACGCCGACACACGGTGTGGCCCGCGGAATCGCACGTCACCTACAAGGGAATGTCGACCGCGGTCGAAGTCACCAGCGTTGAAGTAACCACCCAGTCGATCCTCCTATTAAACAAAATCGTCAGAAAAGTAGCAGAAAGAAAGACATACATGAACATACCTTGGCCCAATAGACCTCAAAATATGCAAAGTGGATATCATCCCACTTGGCTAGAAGCGCAATTACATGCGGATCATCATGCACCTCGCGCAAATACTCCTGGTGTTGCTCCAAAGTTCCCGTCTGGCTCCATCCCTGGGAAACACGAGGATCATTCTGCCATTCATGAAAGAGACGTACGTGCTCGGTATCATTATAGTCGACTGACACCATGGAGAAGGTCTCGTTAAGATGAGGAATCCATCGGCTGTAAACAACAGCCCCAGGTGCGGGCTTAGCTGGTCTGACTGGGTGCCATGACTGCTGAACTCTCTCGGGATCATCAGGATCTCCGGCGATTGTGATGGTCGTTGTATTGTGTAAAGGAGTCAAAGGGAATGATCCAAGAGGTGCTGAGGTGGGCAGAGATGAAGGCGATTCTTCTGGGCACCAAACAGGTCGAGGTCCAAATGGTGATCCAGCGCCTTGCCAGAAGGTACTTCGCAGGAGAAGGACGAGGCTCTCGTCAGTCTTGTTGGAGGGTTGGCGCTTCTCTCGGCCCTTGAGAGGGTGATCAATGGCAAGCAACACTGCTGTGAGTTGTTGGCCCAAAATAGCGGCCCCAACTCCATGTAACTCCAGTCGATATGATTCCACGGATGTTCTCAAAGTGAACAGAGCATATGCAAGCAGCCAGACTTGACCCAAGCTTGGCGCCTCGGTGCCAGCCCAATAAACGGTGACACATGGTGAACGGCGTGCCCGAGCCCAAGGACTGTTGTTGGATTGAGGTGGAAGCTCGCTTGACTTCAGATCAATTGGGTCTGAGAAAACGAAGCCATCGTTGTAAAGATCAAAGGGCAAACGCTTGTCAGACCCAGGAGCTTTCTGGACAAGTTTATAGGCTGGCGCATTCGTGTCAGGTTGTGCCGAGACTTTTTCGATCGCAAACTCGGTCTGGTAGGGATGAGGAAGCTTGACGACAGTTTCTCCAGCCTTGAGGGCTGAGAATGTTCCTTGTGGCGCTGACATTGTTCAAACGGTCTGAGTATTAAAGATTGGACATTAGCGAGAAGGATTGGAAAAGGATGAAAAAGTTCGACACACTCAAGAAGCTATTCACACCAGGATACCAAGCTGCATAAGTGGGAGAAGGTATCCATGCCGGTCCTCCACCTCGGAACAAGCTTGACACCTTGGGACAGCATTCTGCATGGATGGTGTACCCATCAATTCCGCAACTTTCCAGGCCATTGCACAACTTTCTCGGCTCTGGTGCAATGAGAGACTAGTGGTATTTTCGAGGCGACGTCAAGAACGCGGAAATGGACTTAACTTGCCAAGCCGTATGGCAGCCAGATCCCGAAGATCCCCTACTGTGAGTTGTGCAAACCAACTCTGCTCAGGGTCAAGATTACCGTGTGGGTCAGAGCGGATCTGATAACTCAAGCCCAGCCACCCTTGACGCCCGATTTTTTTCTTTCTGCCTGCACACCCCCCTCCTCTTTATCCGGTCCTCGGAGCTGTTTATTCCCAGGATCAGGGTCTAGGTATTGCCGACTTTGACCGCTTGGAAAGGCCAGCAGGATCTGATAAACCGCTCAACCACGCTAAAGGTTCTGCAGGCTCACCAATTAATCACTGGGGGGGGGAGTGCCGGCTTCATGATCCTTGTAAACGTCAATTCCAAAAGTTTTGATGAAGAAAATGGCCTGATGAATGCCTCGAGGCCGAGTGTACCTGGAACCTCTGTTCCGGGGACATTGTTTGGTCTCAGCGGTCTAAGGCACGCATGCTTAACCCTAAGCAGTGCATCGATATTGCAGCCCCCACGTCTGCGAAGAGTCAAGCACATGGGGCCGTTTTCCTACCATTTACGTGGTGTATGCTTAAGTCACGTAACTTTGCGAACAGCCATGAGCACGAAAAAGACACAGGACTTAAGACATGTAAGTTACGGGTTCTCAAATCTGCCGATATGTGTAATTAGTGATGGAGGGGCCCATGGCGTCAGTTACATGTCAATCGCCGCTCACTTGTCAACTTGGCTGATACTTTGACTTTCCAGCATGCACGTTAAGACTGGTTGGTAACCCGGTAGCCAGGTACGAGGAAACCATGCACGGACAAACAGACAATTGAGCGATGGGATGTCCGATCCAATCTTATCAATCTGATCTGATCTGAATTGCTCGTACGCAAGACCCTCTTCACTGCAAGATGGAAGATATCATGTCTGAGACATGAATGCTTATTCCCGATGATCAGCTGTTAATCACATGCGATCACTGATCTTTTTCATCCGGAGTAGCGATGAACATGGGTATAACGAATCCTTGGTTAGAACTGTCGATCTCGTCTGTCTTCTCCCCTTTTCGTTCACATTCTTGGTGTTTCTTGGGCGAAGGTAACCCCAGACACCATACTCGGAATACGGTACCGGGTGAGCTGTACAAAGCGATTCATGACGTGTATGTTCTGAACCTTAATGGCTATTAAATACCATAGTCTTAATTGCAGAGGCCGATGGGCCTGAACTTTAGTGTTTTTGTTTCTACCACGTGGACCAAGACTTCGAATAATGCTTGGCTTTGGCTTTTTCTAAGTCTAACAAGGTCTAAAGACACTACTTTTGTTATTTCAGCTGCTCTTCAAACCAACATAGGCAATTAGCTAGTCATAAACCTTGAAAGCCTGATTGCCGATGATGAGATGAAAGTAGTGTACGAGAACTATGTTGATGGCATAATTCGAACCCACGATGTGATATACAAACTGTGAAGTACATTGTATCTGACATAGGTGGTCCTTCGCAGATCGCTCTCTTGTCTCAAGGCATCTCAAAACTCGCACTTGCTATAACTCTTGACTTATATATTCACACTTGGAATACAAAATATTTACTCATCCGTGTGAGTTTATGCGCTAGAATTGTCCATGCTAGTCTGATATAACGGTGTTGAGACCTACTGCAGCCCAAGTCTATCATAGGTTGAATGGAAACTCCAGCTTCCTCAATGCTCATTGTTTATTATGAACTTGCCACTTGCATGTGTGCTTTCCCGGCTCATCGTTTACTGTCGTAATTTTCGAGGATTCTAGGCTTAAGACTTGAGTTCTATCCCATGCGTCCTCTGCATGTATCATGCCATTAGTTTATGCTGTCCGTAAATAGAACAAGCTTTCTAAACAAACAAACTTTTCACTGAATCTTCGGTAATTTGTACATCCCTAACCCTGATGGATTGTCTCCTGTCCTGCCTGTAGATTGGCGTGAGTCTGGATGTTGTAGAGGAGACCCGAACAAGTAGCATATCCACCGCAAGGATATGTCTTTGGCTCGAGGGCTGAAATATGACGGTTCGGGACTTGCAAACGATTCTTTTATTCCAAACGCATCCTAGGTCCAGTGACCAAGTTTTACCCTATTAGTACGCATATTAATTATATTGCAATGTACAGGTCCGTGGCCTTTAATGAAACATGGGTGCTGTTGTCACGCAGAATCATGATCGCTAGATGTGCTGTCAATCTAATACAATCTACTCTTATCGTCATTTTATTGTAAATTTTCGCCAAGAGGTATTGATGTGTTTATTGCTTCCGTACTTCTGTGGATTGCCTTTCTCGAAGAGCTTGGAACGGAGAGAAATGTCGAGTAACTTTAGTTGCCTTACAAGAATGCGAAACCCTTCTCATACAGAACCATCATATGTCTGAGGGTCTGCAATATGTACAACTATCTAAATTAACATGTTACGGTTCATAAAGTTCCGCTAGTTGTGAGAACTGCAGTCTTGGCCCTTACTCTTGTCTCCGCGCCTGTCAAGAAAACCTGAGGGTGAAGGATGTAAGCGAGTCGTGGAAAGCATTGGATATATGAAGTTGAAATCGTGAATATCAACTAACATGCTAAATGAAGACGAAGATAAAGTCGTTTCATGACAACGGCTTCGATAATCATCACTTCAGGGTCCCATTGGGGTCAATCTCATGCTACATGGATTCAGTCATCCGTGAACAAGTATAAGATTGGAATAGTTTCCCCCTCTAAACATGGGATAAGAGCTTAAACTCTCATAATAGGTATCAAGAAGAAGTAAATAGTACACCCAGGACAACGCAAGGCTGTCGATCATCCTCAGTAGTATGTCTAAAAGATTATATCCCGAACGCCAGTCACTAAGATCGTTTCACATTAAGCCTTAGCCTCGTCAGTCTTGCGGCCACCGAGTTGCATGTAGTTCCAGCAAACTATCAACTCATGTCAGTCATCTTAAGAAACATATCAAAGTCCCGTTTAACTTACTCGTCCAACCAAGATCATCTCGGAAGCAAGACTGAGCAACTTCCTCACCATAAACAGTGCCCGTGTCAGTGCTCGATGCCACAGCCTTCTTTCCAACTGCGAGTCCAATCACAGGAGGGTAGACCACAAGCTCCTTGAACTCTGGGATGTGGCCTGCTCGTTGGCTGAGGATGCTTTGATGAATGTTCTGTGCTACGTAGTGGCCGTGATGCATGGCACCACCACATCGCTTGATACCGGGCCAGTTGGTGATATCGCCAGCAGCATAGTGTGACTCGGCGTTGGGTGTGCCATCCTGGAACTGCAGGCTATGCGCGAGTCAGCAACTTGGGATTTCAAGTCAGAAGACAATCTACTTACTTGGGCTTGATCTTGACAAGACCGTCCGCATCGAGGGCAGAGGTCGGCAAGTATGTTGAGGTTGGAACACTCCTGGAAATGGCCATGATTACCTCGCTTGCGAACATCTTATGGCCGTTGGTGAACTCAATCTCATACTTCTCATTTCCGTCAGTCGTCTCGACCTTGTTGTTGGCAGCTAGACGGTGGCTCATGAGAACCTCAACACCAGCCTCACGGAGTAACTGAAGAGCCACATCCTTGGTCTCATCAGGAAGACCTTCTGAAGAAAGGAGCTTGTCACGAGAGTGGATGAGAGTCACCTTGAGGTGAGGCTTGACCATTTTCAGCTCTGCAGCCATCTCAATACCAACAGCGCCTCCACCAACGACCACGACGCCGTGCTTAGCATTATGGACAGAGGTGATGTGGTTCTCGGCTTCAAGGAGATATTGCTTTCGTGTCTTGGACTGAGGCACGACGGGCCAGACGCGGCGCAGACCGGTAGCGGAGACGAGGTAGTCGTACTCAAGGGTGCTCTTCTCCTTGGTGAGGTGAGCAGAGATGGTAGCTTTCTTGGTTGCAGGGTCGACACTGGTGACGGAGCCTTGGATGATGTTGATGCTGGGGTCCTTGAGGCCAGGGATATCAGAGTACTTGACCCAGTTCTTCTTGGAGAAGTTGGAATCAGCAAGAGCCAAAGGGGAGCCGATCAAATGGTCTACGATACTGTCAGGGTCCGGCACTTATCATATCGCTTAGCCCAGCTGAACTGTGGAGTACTTACAGTAGCCATCCCTCTCATCGACAATAGTGATATCGACGTTGAAGCGAGGAAGATCAGGATGGTGGATGTATGGCTCAGAGTTCATGCGGGGAGAGTATCCTTGGCTCAGATCAAGCAAGTTGACAGCAGCAGATAGACCACCGTAGCAACCTCCAAGGATGAGAACGCGCACGGCGTTGGATGATTCGGGGAGTGAACCCATTGTAGCAAAGGCCTTGGAGTGGGATGTAGGACGATTTTGACGTCGAAACACGAGATGTGACGCTAAAACAACAGATCTTACTTGGATCTGAGGCCGAGGCAAGGCGAGGGTTGTATGCAAGGAACTCGAAGTAAAGAAACGTATGGCCTGAGATAGAGTCGCGTGTGGGACTCTGAGTAGTTGTCCTGAGAACCTGGCCGACACTCGGGCAATCAACATGAGCTGAATGATGGAGTACTTTGAGTATGAAGATGGGGGGGATGAGAGAAGAAATAGTTGAAGCAGTCAAGGGAAGAAGAGGTGAGAGAATATACGTAGATGAAGGCCCGGGAATAAACGACAGCACCCGTTGAGGACTACCAGTGACGCAAGGCGGTATGGCATCTGATACGAGGAGGAATACACTGTATCCGTACTCGGTTTAAAGGCGCAAGAGAGACTTCAATATCGGACCAAGACCGGCTCCGGCCCCGGCTTCAAACAAGGGACCTTTCATCTCTCGGCTGGAGCCTGCATGGCCCTGTTTCTCCATCGTAATTCCCAAGAATCTTTGGGCAGTCTCACAGTGAGATTGAGGAACGGGAACGGATCAGAGCATGACCAGTAAGACAAGAAAAAGCAGCGGGGCACTCTCCATGATCACGGTGTTGGTGTTAGTGCAAGGAACTTTTTTGTATGTGGATGTGGAGTTAAAGTTATCAGATCCGTCCTAGACGGCCAGCCACCACAAGCGACGGAATACCGTGAACT